AGACGACATTTTTCATTAAATCAAAATAGACGAATTGTTCCTCATAATCAGATAAATAGCAAACCAAGCGGTAAAAACGTAAGCTTACTGCTCACTCGAGTTCACCGTTTTGGACAAATCCCAAACTTTTGAAACTTTGCCGTAGGTTTTACACAAACAAAAAATATCAGCTTCAGTCATTCTTCAGTCATGCTTCAGTGAAGTACTATCATTGAAGATATAAACTTTTTCAACTAATCACTCTAAACACTAAAACCTGTAAAAACCAGCTGTAAAAACCAAGACGATGTCTATCTCTGTCTATCTGCTTCGGTTTTCAAGGTGACTAAAGTGTCTTGAATAAAATGTTTTAGCTGAGCAAATTGTTTCTTACAGTGCACTGTCCCACCTTTTCCACGAAGCCTTCAATTTCCCGAATAATGACATGGAACTTTCCAACAMAAATACAAGAAAAACAGCAAAATCTGTGAAAGATCAACCAAGTTTCATGGCASCGACGAAACGACGACGACGAGCGACTTATTATCGGTCAATCATCGGGAAAACCTCGAGCGTTGCGACTGTTTGCGAAAGGTCTCGAAGTCGTTACGAAAAAAAACGATAGGGAGGGATAGACARGCWWSCTGGKGCRCACATCGRTCCATCACGTGACCAGTGTTTCATACCTTGTCACAGACTAGTTTGTATCCCGCGAGGCGCGGGATCGTGACGTAAAGTAACCCGAAGCGCGCGCCGTTTCGAAAACATACCCGCGAGGCAAGGGATCAATGACGCAATACCACAGGAAACCCGCAGCGCGATGCGATTCGAGAACATAATATAAAAGCGTGCGTATTCGTTCTTTTCTTTCTCTCAAGCAATAGTTGGGTAGCCTATGGCATGAGCGAAAGGATAGCCATTATAGAACAATTGATATGTAAATTATCTGACATTTTTTGGAATCGGTCTATAGTCTCAATTGCATTATTGTGTCTATTCAGGAGAATAACAAGCGTGGTTATTTTCAATAAAGTATTGTTTCTTGCATAACACAAACATTAAAGGAATAATTAGCAAAAACAACCTGTACTGAAAAAAAATGAACCGTCGTCTTTGATCAAGAGAAACTTCCTCCGGTAATGCGAGAGAATCATTTTGTAAAATAATGGATGCAGGGATTCTAGTCGTCGGCTTCCTTTCCGTAATTGAGTCCAATACAACAGTTGAAAGATTCATGATTTAAACCTGAGATTATTAGTCCTATTTTTCATTTTTCCATTCCTATTTTACTCTCATCGTATCCTATCGTATCCTCTCTCATCTTCCAGACTCCAGGAGGTCGTTTGCATGTGTTTATTCAGTTCCTTTCGGGAGAGTTCAGCCGACAACACCTGACAAAATGGCTTGATTATCGAGTCAAATGTCAACCGAGATCATATAAGCGCTCAAATGTTAAAATTAAGCAAAATATCTCTCGCACTCTAGAATGTATGAGAAGTAATTTTCAATTTAGATACACGTAATTATTAAATCGATAGACTTTGGGCTTTAATAATTCCAAGTGGTTGACTATTAGTGATAGGTTCTTGTGAAGTGTGCATTTGTTTTGAAATTGAATTCATTTTTTCTCGTTAAAAAAAATTATCCTTAAGATTTTCTATTTAAGCAATCTCAAGAACACAAAAGAGTCAAGTAGTAAAAAAATGTGCGAAATATAGGCCCTAAGAGCACATACAATTACTTACGTTTAGAAGCAACCATCGCTATAATTATGCATGTCGTTGTCGATGAACTCTGCACTAGTACAGTCGCTAGAATCCCTATCATGAGCCCTGCCACAGGGTTTGCTAGCAGCTTATTCGATGCGAACGCCTCGCCCGCCGTTAGGCCACCGAGAAGTCTGAAAGCGTTACCAAGAAAACTAAGAGAGCAAACGAACAAGTAGAGTAATACAGCGAAGAGGATGATCTTGAAGAGGATCCATATAACCTGCCTAGCTTTTTCACCATTGTCAAGATCTGCAGCAAAGAAAAAAACAACTTCAGTTGGCTAAAAATGATGTCTTTGAATTTTTTTCCCAACAAGCAAGATATTTTTTTTCCTTAGAAAGTAAAGTATAGACATATCTTAGTAGTTAACTCTCACCTGACCACTTCTTGTCTGAAGTCTTGAAGTCCACGTCTTCCCAAGCTGTAATTTCGTCGATATTCTCACTATCAGTGCCGCGAGGCCCAGACAGTTCGTCCATGATTCCAGTGCTCCCCTTTCGTGCCCCAACTAGCAAAGAAACTTTGCCTGGCATGGCAGAAGACTAAATATTATTTAGGGCTTTAATCGGTTGAGTATTGTATTACAGAGGTTTTATATTTCAATCATTACAACGTGGATGATATCCGGAATTATCGACCTGTAGGACCCCTGTGGAATGACCTTGGAGGGATGTCTAGATTGCAAGAATCTGGATTATTATTCTGGGGAAGTCTTCAGCGCACAAATCTCTTCTAATCTTTGATAGCGAAGCAAGGTTTTGTCTCGCATGAACGGTTTGCTATCCAAATATTTTTATGTAAATTAACCCCTCTTGAAAGCACAGAGCACCCCCAAGGGATCTTTTGTTTTTGTTTTGTGAAATTTTTGACTGAAAGCTCACAGGTTATCTGATTTAAATCTTCAAGAAAACATATTTACTTTGTGGATTGGTAACCATACGATAACCCTAGGAACTTTTACCTCATGCACGTGACTAGTGAAGTAAGGCTACCTTGGGTTTGATGTTTTTGATATGCCTGAACTTGAATAGCTATTGTGGTTTCATTAAATACCATAGCAACTGTCAATCAATTGTAAAAATAGCTTTAAAGTGGTACAGTCTAAATAAATGTGATTCGCCCAATAAATCTTCTGTGTTGGAGCCCATATTATAATTTTCAAGATTTCGGTCTGAAAAAAATCGCATGCATTTGTCAGCATTTTATTGCAAGAATACGGGTGCAAAACCGATTGACTTCATCATTAAGCTTATTTCTTAGATAAATAATAATCTTTACTTTTGGCAGCATTCAGTTGCACACTATTTTGACATATTGTTAAGTAAACGTTAGCCATCAAACAAGGTGCTATACATCTCTTCTCGAACTCGTTATTTGTTGATTTGTTCTCAAATATTGCTATTGGTACTAAAGGTTTGCTCTAATCAAAGTTCGTGCAAACACAGCTTTAGGGTCCTATTTACGTTATATGTCCGGTGTGTTTAACCAGCAAAGCCCTCAAGAAACATGAAACGTCCAAACCATCCAAACATTTCATCCTCTCGTGACCAAACTGACAAACAATTGTCAAAGTCGAAACTTACAAAGGAAATTGTTTTTATCACACAGCCGATCTCGAAAAGGTTGTGCACCTCGAAAGACATTTCCAATTTTCCAATGGCTATGTGACTTGTGAAAATATTTAATTTTCTTATGTGTAAAATGGTTTAGAATGTCAGTTGTGGTTGGAAAAATAACTAGGGCATTAAAAAGTACCATATTGATATATTTTAAAGAAAATTCTACAATCAGAAACTGATATCAAGACACGTCATCATTGGAACGTTGGAAATGTCTGAAATGTCTTTTTTTTTGGTTGAAAACCTTTTTTGAAGTTTATCCGGTTCTGGTTTTCAGTGTAGGTGTTTGGCCGATGTTTGTTATATATTAGACACTCTAAGAGTGCTTTTTTTGGTGGAAAACCTTTCCAAGGTCGGCTGTTAATTACCTGTAATCTGTGAAAACCTTTTGTGAAGTTTATCCGGTTCTAGTTTTCAGTGTAGCTGTTTGGCCGATGTTTGTTATATATTAGACACTCTAAGAGTGCTTAGTCGGGCTACATCAAAAGCATATGTAGACTTAAGCAAATGGTTACCTAGTGATAATTTATTTGATTCTAGTATTTTGACATTTCTACAAGGCAGGACCTAACCAACAAATGAAGGCGTTACTGGGAACGAAGTTGACCGGGATATTGATAGAGGAAAAAGAAATCTACTGGCATGGAATAAAAATATCAATAAAAATAAAAATATCGATTTGTAACTTGTTTTGGATGCCTCTTCATATTCCACATGTCTTAGAACTGTATCTCTAATTCTGTCATTTCCATTTCAGTTCCGAGCCGTGGCGAGATGTCATGAAACGAATTTCTCAAGAATACACTGTTCTCCCACCCCTCCCTGAGGACAGTTTTCCCTGCTCATTTCTGCATATATTTGGAGGAGGTTATGCGGCGGGCTACTACTCCTACAAATGGGCTGAGGTAAGGGCCACTTTTAGAGTTAACAAGTGAAACATGCGAAACAACCTGCGAAAATATTTGCGAAATCGCTTGCAAAATATAAAGGCCCAGTTTGCACCATTGTGCTTTGCGCGCCTCTGTTATTGTTATGATKTACACCAAAATACTTCTAGTATCCAAATATCACCATAAAACGAATATCAGATGGTTGAAAACTCTAATATTGGCGTTTAAAGTGCTTAGAAAGTGAGATGGTCAAAAATTCAAAACGCACAGTACAAGTTATAGACTTTCGGTAAACTGAAAATGGCCGCCTTCAGGCCCTCGCAGCCCCCAAAGCATRATGGTGCACACTGGGCCTTGAATAACTTTATGAAAACAATCGACTCTCTGTTATTTCCTTCATACTTTAGTCCCCCTTCACTTATACTATAAATTTCCTTACAATCATTCGTTTCCTGTACTATTTTTAATTTCCTTGACAAAGCTGAGCGTTTGAAAACCGACACGAAAACGGGGACGATTTTCGCAAGAGCAACTTGTTGCGCGCGACAATAAATTGTGTGAAGCTGTTTCTAAATCAATTCTAAATCCTAAACGGCATCATTTAAATCGGTCTTTAGCCCGCGGAACCTTCACACTTTCTCTGCGTACTGTCGCGAGTAAATAGAACAAAATATAATGGTTTCAAATTAAAGAGTATGAAGCTTTAGTCTTTAATGATATTTCAAATAAATGATAATTATAAACATCGACAAGTGAATGATCCGTTTAGTCAGTTTCCGCCTTGAGCCAGACCTCGTTGTGTCGGTTGAATAGTTTCATTGGGTCATCGTAGCCAGCGGTTATAAACAACTTATCACTTGAGACGTATTTCTGTTTGTCTTTATCGAGATGTTTTTTCATCATTTCGGCGTGTTTCTCCCACACCTTCTGGCCCCATGCGAAACCTTTGAACGAGTGTACGTATACCTTGAAGTCTGACTTGCTTGTTAAGAAAACCTGAGAATAAAAAATAATGAGAATGAGAATGTGATGAAAAATGAAGGTATTCAAATGAATATGTGAAAAGAAAGAAGAATACTGAGAATGGAAAATAGAAGTAAATGTGGAAAAATAAGAAAAAAAATGATAAGAAAGAAACCAAGGCTAGAAAAGGGTAAAATTGAAAACTAAATAAAAAGAAAGCACCGAAGAATTTACAGCAAAGCAAAAATAAAAGAAAACGAAAAATTAAAGGGTGAAAAAGAACACATCAAGCAATCTTCGTGTTGATTTTGAGCGCGAAATTTTATACTTTTAAGTAAAAAAAGACATGCAAATTATTTAAACGATTATCTCGTTTACCTTGTCATTTGTCGGGGCCGGTGGGGTGGCAATAGATGGCGATAAAAAGAAAGACATGGTGAAGTTCCATTCATTGGGTTTGGTTGGCCTAATCGATGTGATCACGGGAACAGTCATGTCGATCTTTTCTCCTTTTTTGTTTGCGCCTTGTATGTAACCAAAGAGGGGCCAGAAAAGAGATTTTTGGATTTCGCTTGTCCATGATTGGCCTGAAACAGTGATGAATAAGTAACAATGTAGCTTATGCGTCTAAATACTGCTGTTAGATGGTGAATAATATTTAATAGTGGAGTCAAGCTTCCGCTGTACTACATCATCATCAGTAATGAATAAAAGCTGATCGATCGTTCAATCAATCAATCAATCAAGCAGTCTATATCCAGCAATCAAGCAGTCAGTCTATCAATCAATCTCTTGCTTTGCACCGTCAGTGAGTTGTGAGGGTCAACCTATGTATACCCTGGTTCCAGAGGTTTGATATTTTCTCTCTTCGCTATTGTTTTTGTCGAAATCGAGGCAGATTACACCGCTTCACGCCCTCTGGAATCAGGGTAACCCATGTAAGAACAAACTTACGTCAATGACTAGTAAAAGCACCGCCTACAATACCATCGCGACTATAATAAGTTAAAACCTTACCTACTGCAGAAGTGCTGACCCACTTGCTAGGCTGGTAGTGACGTAACTCGTAGTGAGTGGATTTCTTTATAACCTTGAAATCTGGACATTCGTTCTCGCCACAGAAGGCTGGGCGTCCATCTACAGACTCATGATGATCGTGTCCCAGATCAAGTACCTGTTGACATCAGAAACCAGCAATAATCACAGATAAGATATCAATCTGAAGGGGCCAAGGTTTCAAGTCACGTGCTTGATGACAGAGAAATGGCGAGTGATGTCACTAGAATATGCAAATCAGTTCGCTGCCATGCTGATACCGCGACACAATGGGAAGATCAACTTACTGCTTACGTAACGCGTGCATTTTCTTTCTAAATTATAATGGATTCCGCTTAAAAAGCCACTGAAAAATTTTCTCTTATTTACCTTAGTCATAAATTTCCTGAAAGGGGAAAGCATTTTCTTCATTCTCATCATCATCATCATCTCAGGGTTGCTAGCCTTCGTGTAGTCTTCAGCCTTTTTATCTGCATAGTCTCCCCCAAACTTTCCACTAAACGTCTTTCGCAGTGACTTTATCTTAGGCTTTATAATCTTACGTATGTTCTTTATGCCCTTTCTTTTGGCCCTACTCCACGAGATCTTGTCGTGATGGTGATCTGCAGTGGACAACTCCATGCACACTACGAGTACGAGCAAACAGAACGCAATCTTCCACATCGTGTCTCGGTCCCTGATGAAATAAACGGTACAGCTTAAGACGACGGAATGGAAAATTAATGGTACATTTATTTTATTTCTGTAAATATTGTTTGTTTTCTTTTCCCTGGTTAAAACCCTAACGGGATAACATACTACAAAAAAAAACAACAACAACTCTTTCAAGCTCAGCTGATAAAGGTATTCGGTTTATTTTTTAACTCTTTCTGGACATAAAAATGAATTCGATATCGTTAAAAGCTTTGCAAAATCGCAAAGAAATCACAGCCAATCTTGCTAAAGTCGAGAACAAAGGAGATTGCTGAACGCTAATGTAGTTAGCTATTTCATGGGTATCCAACGTTTTTCCTTAAATCTTTTCCAACAAGAAATATAACCAAGTAACAATGCTAAACAAGAACACTGACCTTAAGATTTCTCTCTCTGTTTGGATGGATTGATGTCCTTCTGACTAAAGCTGGAATGACTTTAAAAATTCTGGATCCTCCTTTTATATATCCGCGCCCCCCTTGCTCTCACGTGCATGGTGGATTGACCTTGAATCTAATCTAATCATTGTCTATTGTTATGTAACTATGACACGTTTGAGGCACGTGCCACTTGGAATATCAGGGGGAGGTGTGCAACCTTTTGATACAAGAATTTCGAGTAAAAAAACTCATTTGCAAGCCTCCTTTGCAGGCGTCTTTTTTCTTTTCTGAAGAAGAAGAGAAGAGAATGAGAAGGACGAGAATTTCTTTCCACTCTTGGGCTTCCTGTGGTCCCCGTCCGGCTTTAACGATACACAGAGGGATCCAAAAGGCAAATTGATAAAGAGAGAGTGACGGTCATCATAACGGGGCTTTGTCCTCCCTGAGTTTTAGTTTGGAAATTATTTTTTTTTAATTTTATCCGTGCAAAGGGGAGCCATAGTGGTAAGGCAGAATCCTTTATTGACCTTGGGAAATTACTATTAATATGAGGTGATCACATCGTAAGATTTTGTGTGTCAATCATGTAAAACGTTATCGTGCTGCGTGTGTAATGATGTCTCATTACGTAACCGTAGGATCGGATTACTAGGGAATGGGGGACTTTGCTACTGCCAGTAGTACTGTCCATAAAATAGTACAAATCGTCTCAATCGACTAGAAACGCCTTTTTTTACTTTTTTCTCAAGGAGATTATCAACAATACAAGCCGTATTTCAGGCGATTGGGAAAGTAAAACGGTGTCGTGCTGCGGTTGTAATGCTGTCTCATTAATATGTAACCGTAGGATCTGATTACTAGGGGGGTGGGGGGGGGGCACTTCGCTATCCCTAGTGGAAACGCCTTTTTTACTTTTTCCTCAAGGAGATTAACAACAACACAACCCGCATTTGAGGCGATTGGGAAGGTCATATGGACACTAGGCTTTTAAAATGCTGAAAATGAGACAATCTACGAACAATACTCAAGCCTGCCGCGCGTCGTATTCGACCAAATTATAAATGACAAATATAAATTGAAAAGRTGCGAAAAATCTTAAGTACGAATGAACAGAACAAGACAGAATAGTGCCAATGCTTATCATTGCAATGCGCCCCCCACCCACCTCTTCCTTCATGCACTTCTTAATGTTTTTTAAATGCAACTAAAATTGCATCAGGAAATTCCTGTATGACCTATATCAAAAGAAGGGGTATAATATTACTGTTTATAAGATAACGACAAATCCAGATAGTCAAAACTGAAAAATAGTGGAAACGAAATGGAACAATGGAAAGGACGTCGTTTTTTTCCTGTTTTGTATCTGTATTCTGCGTCTGTTTTGACGTTACTCTGTTAGCACTCTGTTACGTAATGGATTACATAATATATAATGACACTGACGAGATTTATTGTTTGAAAACCTGCCAACTCAAATAACTTATATACTAACCAGCATATTAGTCAGGATTTGTTGGTTTTACAAAGATAAAATGTCGTGAGATCAGTGCAAGATGAATGTTGCGAGATTTCTCTTTGGTCGTTACGCAGGAGTAGGGGGCATTGCAGACGAGTTTCTAGATCCTGCAATACCGTAGCCTGAGTTTTATCCAGCCTTTTCCAGTTAACACCGATGGTTATTTTCGAGAATAAACCAGGATGGAAGTACCGCAAAAAATCAAACTTTCTAGTTTGTAGATGATATTAAAATACGCATTACAATACGTGGTATCTGTGATCTCATCGAAATGCATCAGTCTAAGCATCAGAAGTTTCACAGTCTTGTGTGGGCGAAGATTTCAAATTAGAACAAGAAGAAACTTTGTTTATCAATAACAAAGAGGCGACTTTGATTATTTTATAGGCACCTTTTATTTTGTAAAGTATAATTTATTATTTTCTTGGTATGAGAGGTCAATGAGTTAAAAACGTATTAGATATCATGATATCACTTAGCGACATTTAGTCTACCACGTTTGATTTTATCAGTCAAAGTATAGAATCATTTAAAACGTTCGCCTGAAAATAACTTTTTGGAGATTCGTCTGACTAGTAAGTTGGTTCATGTACAAAACACTTCGATAAGTATAATTTTAGCAGGTTCTTTTCTTTTTAACATTGCATTAAAAAAAATTGAATTAGCGGTGTTAATTACATGACCTTTTAGGTCAAGAAATTTTGCATATTTTGATCTAGACGCTCTTATTAGACCGTGAGTTCAGCTATTTTGGAAAAAAAGAAATTTTTTTTTTCTGGCTCGATATTTCTATCGTTTTGAAGTCGTTGCAGAGAGCAGTCAAAAAGAATATCGTATCGTGTGAATAAACAGTTTTGAACAGTACATTTTATTAAAGTGAAAGTAACGCATTCTTGCTTTTACTATGTATTAGAAGTAAAAAAATATATTATACGCCATAGTTTACATTCATATAATCATATGATTAGACAGAATATAACATAATCTTATCGTGTTTAAAAGCTTTCAATCGTTCTCCTATACGCTCATCCATGTAATATCCTGTCTTTCTTAATTTTTAAAAATAGCTAGCCCGACTTCACGCTCCAAGAGCGTCTACTCCGAGGAAAATAGGGAAAAACCCTGAATGTAACGTAATACACATTATCATAAAGTATTGTAAACAATGTCCAACACAAAAGCGATAGGCGATGGATCACGCAATATATATACTGAATCATGATAATATGCAAACTACAAACTACTTTAGATACATTTTGTGTGTCAATTTTGCAAATGTGCTTTCTACCGTAACTCTACTAAGTATAAGAAAGTGTTTATTTATACAAGATTTCTACCCTTTGGTGGCCATTTCTTCCTTGATTTCTTCCTCGTTCATGTCACCAAGATCATCACATTGCTTCGACAAGTGGATGAAAGAACTTCCAAGCTTTTCCTTCATCTCTAGAGCTGTGCTTCCATGGAGCATTTTCTCTCTTGTATCAGTACCGCTTGGACAATAACTCAGAAAGACGATCTTCTCTCGAAGCTGATTCTCCCTTTTTGTGCGATAAGTTAGGTCGAAGACGACATATCGAGCTGCGTCCTCCTCGGGAAGATCATTTATCATGTCTTGGAAAGTTTTGTCGCGATCTCCAGTTTTATCGACGACAACTTGGTTGTTCTCAATTTTGAAGATGATGTATCTGTATTCCTTTTTCCCTTTGGTCATCTTGTCAAAAGTGGGTTTGACAGAATCATCGCATTTTATGTTCGACTTGACCATGTTGGTAGCTCTTTGAACGACGAGTTAGTAAATTTTGGTTTGAACGCCTTGTCGCTTGATTGTTTGGCTCTCTGAATCTTCACTGCAAAGCGAACTGAAAATCCGGTATATATAGCCGGCATAGCCATTATCATGAGTATTTTTGTCGAATTATCTAACTGATTTTGCAACAAACTTTATTCAAACAAATAAAAAATCACTGATTTTTTTATATGCCCATCTTTGGGCATACGAATAAGCACCGACCGCTCGTAATTCGTCACAAACGAAAACTAAACAAAAAAGAACATACGTTTCTAGCAAAAAATAACAATGATCACTCATACAGACGGCTATAATATTCATAAGAATTATTAAACAAAGAAAATCAATTATTTTCTGCGGGCATGTAGTCTAGATTTAGATGTCTCATTCCAGAAATATAACGGTAAACATCAATTTTGCATTTATTCAGGAAATGCATTTTCTCTTGTGAAAAAGTTTTTTTTCATAAATGTTTAGGGTACCAGAGTACGTAATCTATAGTACTACAACATATACACTTCAGTATTCAGTCATGAACATGTGTGTGTGTTATCTTCTATTACGTAAGAAAAGCCGGAATAATGCGTTACTAATCGGCCGGTTTTACCAAATTAAAAACTTCCTTATAAGTACAAGAGCAGCTCAAAACAAGTTTATAAGTTTATTTGTTTACTTCTGTAACGTTAGGTCGTCATGATAATGCTATGTGCTTGTGACTTTGAGAATAATTTTGAAGATTGTCAAAAAGAGCTCGAGATAATACCTTACTTGGTAACATCGAAAAACTTGACACGCGAGGCAGGATGGTGTTTGTTTTGTAATGCAAACTAGCCATGCGGTACAGAAGGTAGCAAAGAAAATCAAATTTTGATATTTCATCCAATTTTAATAAAACATACACTTTATGAATACTTATTTATACTTATTTTTGATACGGATTTTATTTTCGAGAGTTGACACGATCTCTCACGAGTGAGCTTAGTGAACGAGATCTTCAACTCGAGAAGATAAAATTCGTATCTCCAAGCGACGGTGTAATATTCTGTTTTACTTCCAGGATATAGAGAAAACTCGAATGTGTTCAGTATTTTCAGCAGTGAAAATAAAATGTTATCGTGAATAACACGTAATGACTACTATTCTAGTTCTACTTCTAATCGAGTTAGTACCAGTCGTGTGTTCGGAGAGTGGCGACAATACTCTTTAATAATAAACATTAGTATAAACATACTAATGGTCTATCACTCATACTGCGCTGTTCTGCCTCAGTTGAGATAGAGGTAGATATCACACATATTGTTAGGTCCTTTATTCACTATTTTGAAATTACAATTTCACAAAAGACATTAAAAACCAAGATAGTATTCTGGAATAAATGCGGTTTATTTTTTCTTGATATCCATGCGCAGAATTTCGGTTTTTTTTACTTTCAGGAGTCTTAAAGTTAAGATGGCACGTTTAAAGAAAATATTTTTCTTTAATTAATTGAGCATGACATCATACAAAGATATATGGAAAGGAGCCTATCAAAAATCAACTGGAACTCACATCAGCGAAATATTTTTCATTTGTTATAATTGTTTCGTTATTAGAACGTGAGTTCGGCTATATTTAAAAAAAAAGAAATATATTTTTTTTCTGGCTTGATATTTCTATCGTTTTGAAGACGTTGCAGAGAGCATTCCAAAAGAATATCTTATCTTGTGAATAAACGGTTTTTAACAGTACATTAATTAAAGAGAAAGTAACGCATTCTTGCTTTTACTATGTATTAGAAGTAAAAAATATATATTCTACGCCATAATTTACATAGAATATAACATCATAATCTTATTGTGTTTAAAACCTTTAATCGTTCTCCTATACGCGCATCATGTAATATCCTGTCTTTCCCAATTTTCAAAAATAGCTAGCCCGACTTCACGCTCTAAGAGCGTCTAGTTTTTATTTTCTTTCTCGGTCCTTAATCAAATTTTCCGTTCCACAATACTAAAATTATAGCCCAATACCTTATTCAGGAAAGTTTTTCTCGCATTACGCTTTTTTTAAGCGTTACCGCATATCACAGAGGATAAAAGTCCTGCGGTACCGTTAGAATTTTGTCATTTTCGCGCCATAGAGTATAAAATAAAATCCAGTGCTACCAATCCGGATATGCCCCTGCGCAAGCCATTGAGTATTCTAAGAATTGTAGTTCTAATCAAACTTCAACTAAATTCCAAATTCTTTGTATAGGTGATGTCGGCTGATGCGTTTGGTGCTTTCCAAGAAGTTGGACTCAACAACACTGAGGAAATTGCTCGCCTAGGAAAAAGGTATGAAAGTATCACCACAGGTAACCCAGAACACTTTTTTTTAGTCACACTGTAAAAACACTACCGTAAAGCTACACTAAAGGTCGGCTGCTAATGAGGCTACATAAGAGCTGTCGCACATGGTTTTATGCTCTCACTATTCATAAATGTTACTTTTTTTATTTAACTGAAAACCAAGTCAAATCATAGCCGACAATTAATCACACCACAATGACTGAGTGTGTCGTTCATTTCTTGTTTAGATTTCGTGACACTATTTTGGCCAAAGGTGGGTCACGCCATCCGCGTGACGTCTTTAGTGATTTTCGTGGTCGGCCACCAACACCAGACGCTTTACTCTCAATATATGGATTATCATGACAGAATAGATAGAAAACTAGTAGTCACAACTAACAACGTGTTTGCTTTCGAAGCCGAGAAAAAATGTGTCACGCAAGACTCGCAGTCACAAAAATGATAAAAATGTGAAGAGAGAGATTAAAATGGGAGCAATATTGAAATACTTATGACACCTACAGAAGGTTTCATGTCATTAAAATTATATTGTCAGTATAAGTCTTAGAGTTTTCAACCGTTTTAATTGGAAAGTCAAGTACTACGGTGGATGACACAACAGAACGGAAATTTCGGAGATTCATAATCAAAACATCTTATTTACAATAGTAATTTACGATTATATGAAAATTCACGAAAAATTTAGCTAAAATGTCTAATTCCTAAAAAAATATATATATATATCTATATAAGTTGAATTTCTGCTTCCCTGTTGGTAATTTTAAAGTACTACGGTGGATCACACAACAGAAGGGAAGTTTCGGCATACCTTGTAAAATTAATATTAGTAATATTTCACCATTAAGTTATTTACTTTATATAAAATCAGCTCACATAGAATCAATCATATAATATTGAAAGCGACTACAGTACCTCCGGCGATTATTTTCTTAGTGGGTGAAAGAAAATCCCCTTTATTTGTTTAATTATTTTTAATTAAATGTTTTCAATTTTAAAAACAAATAAGCAAGTTGAATTTTTCATGGGATGTGTTGCACCTGTCTTGTATTGGTGCTCATTTTTTTATTGAGCTTAAAATTCTTTGGGCTGTATTAGAAGCCAAGTTATGTCAACACACACAGGGAACTTCATAACTTAAGCCAAGTTTACACTTTGGCGTTTTCGAGTTCTTTCATCGAATGAAAACACTATACGAAAGCGTTTTTGTGAGAATTGCGCCAAATGTGCTTTCGTTTTTTTTCATTATTATTATTCTCTATTTCCCCAGTTGATGACAAAAAAGTATAAGTACAATTAAAAAGGAGTTAGTGTCCGTATTTATCCTTCGCAGCATGTTCAGATGTTTTCAATGTATGCAATCAAGACATTTTAGAATGCCTTTCAACGTTCACCATTTTTTTCCAAATTAATCGTGCTGTGAATGTGTTTGTTTGGTATGGTCGTGACAGTTCTATAGGTGCAGTCAGGAGAATACTATTGAACTGTTAATAGAGGTGAAAATAAGTCAGTCAGCTGCCGTGTAAGGCTTGCAGCGCGGCCATGGAGGATTCTCAGAATGTGCCTGTAGAAAAATCGGGAGGGAGTGAAGTTCAAGGACCTTCACACTCCAAAACTCAAGCATCCAGTGAACCTTTCAAGGTAGAAATCGTTCCTCGTGAACAATCATGGAAGGGTTACGAGGACAGCAAGTATGATTCCCCTGTGTTCAACCGCTTGGCACCTTACCCGGTATTCTACTACTATCGATGGAAAGTTCTTTCTATTTTTCACTCAAGGCTATTCTTTGACGTCGTCCTTGGTGAAGTTCTGTTTTTCCTCCTTCTCATCGGAGGTCTTGCTGTTGCATTGGGAATTATTGGCGCCCAAGATGGTAGATCAACTGGGAGGATAGCCTGTGTTGCGCCCGCACTGACATTCGCTTTTGCATGCCGCAACTCTATATGGATCCTCTTCACTGGCCTTCCCTTTGAAAGAGCCTTGATATGGCATAAGATCTGTGCGTACCTCAGCGTTTTGGTGGGTGCGTGGCATGGGTATGTCACCAATTCTGTTGATCTATCAGGTATAATTCTGATCACTAGTATGGGCGCTTTGGGCTTGTTCTCTTTATGGCCAATCCGAAGAAAGCTCTTCGAAGCCTTTGTGCGTTTTCACTGGGTTTTGTTTTTAGCGGTGATTGGCGTGTCTTTCTGGCATGGAGCAGTTGAAATCGCTTATGGTCTTACCCCTTGGGTACTGGATGTGTTACTGCGAGCAGCGGTAATCATCTGTAACTACAGAAAGCGCAAGCAAGTGTTAGCAGTTAGACTACCATCTAATGTCGTTCGTCTGACGTTCTTGAAAGAAGGCTTCCAATACAAGGCAGGGCAGTACTGCTTCATTTGTGTGCCTGGAGTGACCTGGTTCGAGTGGCATCCATTCAGTCTGTCATCATCACCACATGAAAACAAAGTCTCCTTCCATATTCGTATTCTTGGTGACTGGACCCAAAAGCTCTACGATCACATTGATACAGTAAAGATGATCACCGTTTTCATTGATGGCCCGTACGGAACGCCGTGCTTGGACATCGATGGAAGCAAGTACAAGCACTTCTTATTGGTCAGCGGTGGCATTGGCATCACCCCCATGCAATCCATCTGTAACGACTTGCTGTATCAGAGACGTAGGGGTAGAGATCTCAAGAAAGTCATGTTCGTGTGGTCGGTGCGTGATCTTTACATGGTAACATCAGTGCTTCAATATGACCAAGAATGCTTCCATAAAAATTCAGATCTCAGGTTACCGTATTCGTTTTCACCCGACTTGCTTGATAGAAGCACCCCCGAGGAGATATTGGAAACCTATTTCCATCTGACCAGAGAGAGGAACACCTCGAAGTTTACCGAGGGGAATATCCGACCAGAAATCCAGCCAACTCTCAAATTTGGACGACCAGAACTGCCAGTTCTTTTTGAAAAAATGAAAAGATATTGCCAAGACGGAAATAACAGAAGAGTGGCCGTCTTGGCATGTGGCCCTCGTCCACTTGTCGACTCAGTGCAAACGCTCTGCGCAAAATATTCATGCAGAGATGTCATTTTTGACTTTCACAAAGAGGTGTTTGAATTTTGAGCTCAGGACTTATATTTTATTCATTTTTGACTGTTACTTCAGTGATTTTTTTTATTCAATTCCGTGTGGGTTGATCACTTAAAAGACAAGGGGAAATCAAATAACTTAGTGGGAAATCAAATAACAAAGGTTTTAATGAAATAAGTAAGAATATGTTGTGATAACAATTTGTCAGTAAACAGTTTGGCGGGCTTCATATTATATACTCTTTCAACAAAGATTCACCCTAAACTATTCATGGTTCCATTTTTAGTGACACGGGGAGCGCTGTCTTAAGTAATCAGTTTCGTATTCTTGGCTTGTAAGTGGTCGTAAGTTACGACATCACCGACATTTTGGATGAAGATGACAAAGCATTCCTCATCAGTTTCTCTTGTTCATTCATCCAACATGGCGACGAAAGCTTTGTGTCTTATTTCTAAGGGGATTCCTGGTCTTGTGATTGCACACCAAGAATCCCTCAAAATTTTGCTTGAAATTCATTTGAAAAAATTCGGTTGCATCGTGGGTAATAGACCTCTGCAGCTTTTACGTCATGTACCGTATACGCAATGCATTATAGGATATGTTTGGGAAAGAACATGGCGGATTTCTTTTGTTTTCTCTTGAAACTGATCCCACAATGCATTGAAAATCAAGTAGTGACGTAAAAAGCTCAGAAGTCTATTCACAGCTGTAATCCGAATTTTAACGTTTTCTTTAAATAAGACAACTGCTTGCTCGTTCAGGCAAGCATAGTGTTTCTGTGGAGTTCATTGACCTGAAATTAAAGGTTTAGTTTCGAAGTTCAGAGTTTCTATTTCGGTTCAAATTACTATATAGATGCACATGTCTTCATTCACCGTATATGGTCATGATTTAGAAACTAAGTTATATTATTTCATTTGGCAGTCACAAAGCCAGTACTTGATAGCCCACACTTGGCCCCTGCTCACCCTTTGAATATCTTTATTTTCTTTTTTTTTTTTCTTCTTTTTTTGGCGCTCCCTTCGACATAAGTCTAAGAGAAAAATGCCCATTTATGGCATCAGGTCGAGGACAAAGTCAGACAAATAAACTAAATTAAATATTATGGCAATTTTTAAGTTTTGCGGTGGAATATTTACAACTGGAAAATTCGCTTACTTGAAAAATAATCAGTTAACAGATTTTTAGAAGTGTTAGTTATTATATCTGGAACAATTTGAATTCTTACCTTGATATTTTGCGTCATTCTTTCGTCGGTTTCGACTGGTTTGACTTCCATCGAATCATTTGACTTGTTTATTGCAGAGAAAGTGCTGTCTTCTTCCAGGTTTTCGTACTAGAGTAAGTTCTTTTAGAGGGATTTTTTCCCTCAAGCAGGATGGGTGAGGACTTGTTATCAAAATCCTTTCAATTGTACTATTATTGTCTTTGTTGGGAAAATGAAAACAAAATACCTCGGAAAATTCCCGAAGATACACGAAGAGCTTCCGAAGTCATGCCGACAATCTAAAAATAGCCGAGATTATGATGTAATGCATGTTAGTCTCGATGTGCGTGACACATGACGTCTAGATTGACCCAGTAAACGTGCAGTCCCGGTGCAACAAGCTATTTCGTCGCTAGGACTGCCTAATCTTAGGATTTACCAATAAAAGTTTTGTAATTTTCAGGTTAACACATCACTGAATCAATACTAGCTTAAATAAAAAAACTGAATCAATATTGGCTAAACTTATGCAGAACAGAAATATCTCGAATGTCCTCGTACAAAGTCTAGTTAGAGGGAGACCCAACAACAGGTTGGAAAAAATCAAGATCATTGAAATACGGGTTCGAGCAGGAATGAACATGTTTTTGTTGTTTGGACTTGATCAACTTGATCGAGGTCGACTGGACTTTCCTGTTGTGAGTTAAAAATAGAGATTGGGAAATTCCAAGCGTCATCATCATGACGTCACAAGTACAGAGCATATATACGCTGTTCTGAAGAAATTCAGAAATCAAGAAATAATAGCATTACCAACATTCCAAGAAAGAGGGGGATTTCAACTAGCTATACACAGTTATTTCACGTGAGAGGAAGACGCTTTTTATGGATAGCCTAACAACAACAACGCGATGTGCCAAATGCGAAGAATTACAACGGCTGTACCTTTCAGCGCTCAAAGACAAGCGAACCATTTTAGTTCGTCTTCAAAACGAGCTTGAACAAGGGAGAAAGGTTAAGGAAGAGTTGGATGCAATGAGAGGACGAGAAAGACAAGCTACGGAACAAAAACGATTGGTCGAAAACACCTCGGTAAGTCAAATTCTCAAATTGGTTGTTATGCAACAAAAATGGCGTGATAGCAATGTTTTCGCATAAATCATGATCATGCAAGGAAAAGCTTTGCTTCAAAAGCTTTTAGATAACATCAATCAAACCTAGATAAAAATTCAACTGGAATTGTATTTCTTTAGGCGTTAAGCAGTGCAAAAAATACGTTTACCAAAGGATCAGAGCTGGAACGAAGGTTGGCCGAGGTAAACATGCATAATTTTACTACATGTAAAACTGCCACTCAAAAGCTCACTCCGGTATCAATCTATACATAACATGAATGAAGATTTATTTTTAAATTTTATTGGTTTCTTTTTTCGATTATAATTTCACTATCTAAAAGATGAACTAAAAAAATAAATTCCAACGTCCAACGTCCACAGAAACTACGATTTTACCTTTAAATACATAAATTATGGAAGGCTGGTTAAACGAAATACATTAGTTGAACATTAAGCTTAATAGAAAAATTTAATGCATGAATTATATAACGACCTTTGTTTATCATTCTTTCTGATGGGGTGATCTACTTATATGGCTACCAAAATAACAGCTGAGCATCAAAGGAAGATATTGTTTAGTAGTCGGGTGGAGCATATGATGATCACACCAGTAAACATCATCACCGAAATTGAATCAATCAAACATGATCACATTTCAGTCTTCCTCTGTAAAGATCAATTTCCTCTCTTACTGATAACTTGAATTAAAAGAACAGTTCCCTTCAAATTATTGTTTTCCTATATAATGTGTAGTGACCATCACATGTAATTCAGTTTTCTGACTGCAAGAGGTTGAAATAAACAAATTATTACTTTAGTACCTATTATTTCAATATATCTTTTTTATTGTGAACTCACAGGCTATGATGGTTAACAGAAAATGGAAAGAAGAATATGAAGAACTTAAAGAAAAATTCAAAACAGAGACTACAAAACTACAGGAAGAAGTAAACACCTTAAGAAATAAAGTTGAAGAGAGCAACACACATATTTATGCTCTCGAGTCAGAAAACATGAGACTTGCACAGGCACTTTCTGGAAGAGAAATCGCTCGACCTCCTAGTGATAACAATTGCGAGGAATCACAACTCATAAAGTTTCAAATGCAAGCATACAAAGAAGACTTTTCTTGTGAGAGGAGAGACCGAGAAAGAGCGCAAAGCGAAAAGGACAATCTTCAGGAGCAGTTAAACAGCGCTCAAGAGATTATTTCAACTTTAACTGAAGAGGTACATTAAAACTACATGATAAATTATCATTTATAACCATTAAGGATTAATAACCCAAAAGAATGATTTGTGAATTGTGTGTAAATGCTTCTGGTTGAAGTTTTTTAGTTGTTGCAATGATCATTCTTATTTTTTTCATGATGTACTTTGTTTTTCAATATTTTTTGTGTTATCATTGCTGACATCTTTAATATCATTACAATATGTTTTGTTTATTGTCATTATGTACATTATTATTTTAGTTAATTTTAGCTTTATATTATGCAGATTGAAGTGTACAAAACACAACATGAAGGTGATCAAGATGAAATCAGACGTCTAATGAACAGACAAGTGGCTCCCCAACCTCAGCTTCAAATTGTTTATCCTGTTATTGATCAAACAGAACAGACCCAACAGAAGAGACGGAGACAACAACAACAGAGAAGGGTCAGTGTCATTGCTTGCTTTATTTTTGAGGGATAATAACCGACTAAAAATATACAACATTGAATAGTTGTAAATAGTACTATTTGATGATACTCATATTTTTTTCATTTTCTTTCTGAATTTGTCTTTATTAATGCATTTTAGGATTTGCAATCCAATACAAACAAATGAATGAAACTTAGAATATTTTCTTTCTTTTAGAGTCATTTTCTTTCTGAATTTGTCTTTATTAATGCATTTAGAATTTGCAATCCAATATAAGCAAATGAATGAAAGAATAAATTCAAAACTAAAACTATTTTGTTATTCCCTTTATCACAGGGTATCTACACTAGAGGTCCAACCCTTCCCCCACCAAGTGTCTTCTATGGTGGTGACGTAGAGGTTGATCAAGCTGATGGTGGTACACCAATAATTTCAGATGGCTATCACACAATATAAATGATTTTTAAAGAACATGAGATGTATTTATCTATAGATATGATACTCTAAGAAGATGTTATCCATATTGATAATGTATGGTGGCCTTTTTAGATTTTTTTTGTTATAGTTTGTTTTCATTAATCCATAGCTAAAATGTGATGTGTAACATTAGCTCCCATTATAACATATGTAGTACTTTTGGTTGAGTTTATCATTCCATAAAATCAGGCAAAGTATAGAAACGGAAACTGTATGTAAAAATATTTCCAAGAACAGTATAAATTTTTGTGATTATAATTTTTTCATCGATTTTATATTCAATTTGAATGGAATTTCCTAAGTTCAGTAACCCTTTGATAAATTATTTGGTGAAAGAACTAAAGAATTTCATTCATATATCAATTACAGTTTAATAAAAGGTACTCTAAAATATGTATTTTTAAGAATATTGTCCAAAATTAAGTATTTATTTATGAATACATAGAATATATTATATATAAGCTTACAAAGTATAACTTTATTTAAATATTTTACAATGGAAATGGAAGAATGAGATTTGAAAATTGGAAGTCTCAAAGAAATTATTATGTATTATTATCAGTTATAGTTGATTGAATACATTACATTCACTATATATATATATATATATGAAATACTTTGCTGAAAAGGTTGTAAAAAATCATAGAAGAAAAAAGTAGTTTTTAGTTGAAAACATTTAAAACATGAAGAAGTACTAATGGAATACAATGCAGTGCTAAATAGCATAATATACTGTAGATACTGTAGATTAGACAATTAAAAACAAAATATAATTTAACACCATTTATTCTTAAAAGTTTTCATGTTTTTAATGTTTACACTCTATTAAGCAATAATTAATATGTATTTTTTTATTAATTTGGAAATCATTGATGGCTATAGTAGAATTCATGTGTCAAAAGAAGGGAGTAATATAGACTAGAAGGAAATTGTATAGAGGAAGTTGCTCATTAATGGAAAAAATATATCAATTTAGACCTAATTGTTACTTTTCATACTGTCATGTAATATAGTAAGTTGGTATACAGGTTTAATATGTAAAAAATTTCGTTTGATGTTAAGGTGTTTTAAACGCATAATCAATTTACATTACCGAATTCTTTGAATTTGAAAAGCCATCACATATACTGATGTATTCATTTTTAATAAAAGTATCTATTCAATAATATTTTTTTGTAATTGGTCTTTCATTTTTGAGAAGGTCAGACGTTTTATAGCAGAACTTCTGCTTGAGTCTGGATCTTATTACTACTTGCACAACTGTCTGTCAAAAAATCTGCCAGTCAAAGCAGTAATTTGAAGGATTATTGCACATTTTTGTTCAATTTTTCTTTTGTAAGCAAAATTTGATCACGTTTAGCTCTGATCATTTTTTATCTTACTCTACAATCAACCTTGTGGAAGATGGAAATCGTGCAGGAATCCCTTGATTGAGAAAAAATACTAGGGGAATCCCCGCGAAACTACGCAAAAAAAACATCAATGTTTGAAGTACACGAGCAAACGCACGTAGAGGCCGTGCGTAGGTGCCTTTCGAAAAGCAATTTAATGTTTTCCCCAAGGCCAAGGTTCGAACATATCTTAATTTATTATTTTAGACTGCAATATTCGAATGGCCTCGAATGATCGAAAATCATTAGGATTTCCTTTCTTGCTTTCGCTTCATAGGACTAAGCTCTTTAATTTCACACTCATTTTATATCCGCTCTATTCACTATATTTTCTATGAAATATGTCTTGCGTAATTTGTGTATATTAAAGTATTAGTCAACAAGCATCACACTTCCTTTAGGATTCGACCTTGACAGTGTCTCATCGTTTTTTATTCCCTGGTTCTTCACAGCATAATCCCAGCTTCCTGCCAGGGCAGGTGTTGTTCTACAAGCTGACCACATTCAGTCGTGCAGCAGGGGCGTTTGTATGTAAACTTTTATTTCCTTTTGGGGTTATCGCTAAAGTTTTCTTCGTAAGGAACGCTACTGCTGAAAGAGCTTTCGATGCTTGGGATCTCATCATATAGTGAAATTCTTCAAAATCCTATTTTTCATCAATCATTTCCGTTCGAACGATATCCCACTTTTGACAATGTTTCCTGTTTGATATATCCGGCAAGATATATAAAAGTCCCCGATTTACTTCGGTCATTTTGTTGATATATTCCGGCAGCATTTTCTTGCTTGATATCGGGTGATGGCCATCGACGGTTATTTTTTGAAAGGAAACCCTGTAATTCCTGGCATTCCTGGCACTGCATCAGCTAAGCTAGATTTTTTTTATACTATAGTTACTGAATATCTTTTTTGTCGCGTCTTACCCTGAATACTGAGTAAAATACGATTTGCAAGAGTCAAAAGGCGGCTGACTCAGAGAATCAAGAAGGAATATAAAAAGTTTTGCTTTGCTGGAAATTAAATGGAAGTGGAGAGCGAACGAGATTAAGATTTTTTTTGTCACAATTTGTTTGAAAAAACTGTGATGGGGCATCCATTCTTCCCCTCACTTACCCTTAATTCCCAATTCTCATAAAGGCCCTTAACGATATTTATTCAAAATCGGAATTCGATGTAATAATATGCAATTAAAATGGCGACATCGTTTAGTGCCAACGATTCGTGACTTGATAGCAGTGAGGAATTTCAGGCATGCATCTTGTAAACCCTTTGACGTCATTCTTCCCGCTTCAGTGCAGTTGAAACGCTGAGGATGCTTTGACGTCACATCAATATACTTTAGTTATGAAAATTATGAAAGAAATGACGTCACAGTGACATACAGAACTCTCTAGTTTCATATTTGCGTACACAGGAAGCCCCGTTCTTAAAACTGTTTCAGTATCAACTCGAATCAACAGAAATGCAGAGATCACGCTATAGGCATGTCTTTTTAAAAATTTCAGTAATTTATATACATTAATGAGCATATTAATTGTGTATAAGTATTGACACGCATAACTGATAGAAAGCCATTAGTTTAATTAATAGCACGCTAAGAAAACTCTTGTTCGGTCCATTTTAATCATTATGTAAAGAAAAGATCATGAAAAAAGCTGGCTAAGTGTATGAAATCTTTAAAAGCCTGTCCAAGAGGAAACTTTGTTACACTTAATCCTTACCATAGGTAACATCAATATTTATACAGATGTCTTTACTTCCTTACTTCATTCTTTAAAAGTCATGAAAGCGGCAATGATAATGCATTGCTCATTACCATATAATTGAATTAATTAAATGTGAAAGCATCATTGTCTTTATAAATACTAGGGTTTTGTTTCTTCTACGTGTGTTTTAATTTTCCGAGCTTTCGGACAACTTGTCCATCATTAGGGCAAAATGAAATTACCGAATGCGTGCGCGAGGATACAAATGTAAACAAAACACTGTAACTGCTGTTATGTTACCATAGTAACAAAAACCCTAGTATTTATAATGAATCCTACGTACGAAAACATTTTAACATCAATGTCTTTGCTTGAGTTCGGTTTCATCTTCGGGCTTCCTGTGGTCTTTCACCTCAAGTCAGTAAATAAGCGCAAGATGGATGGAAATAGAAGTGAGTTAGGAAATCCCAAGGAAAAAGAGGACTGATGCAGGAAGCGTTGAAGATTTTGTCGTGTGTGACTGAGATTAAGGCCGATATGATTACAATCAATATGATGTGTTTTACATCTTGAAAACGCATTTGCTCGGCTATTTTGGCGTCAAAAAGCCGTTCTAACATTTTTTGAACATTTTCATTTCATCTCGAAAGCAAGCTTGAAACAAGTGCATGACCTCTCTCTCCCATTCAGTTATTTATCCAACTCCTCTCTATTGTTGTTTCACTTGACATGAATGTCTCTCATCTCCAGCTCTTTCGTTTCAGCGGAACATTTCCCTATATAGTTCCTTCTGATATAAATCATAGACACTATGAATGGCCATGAAAACACTTTGTTTTATTACAGTTACATATATTAAAATATCTCATTGGTATGAATATCAGATCCGCGAAAATCTCTGTGTTGCATATTAAACATTAATCTTCGGTCTCAAGTTTTTGATACGTTTCAAACTCTCGCAGCTCTGGCAGTTATTTTTAAAACACATATGACCCAAACTCTACGTAATTTCTAGCTTTAAACATATACTCTTTCTTATCATGAATTGTGAGTCATTGAGTTTAATGTGCTTGTTCCCAGTCTACTGCTCTCTTTTTATAGCGTCTAGTACAAGTTCCTAATGCTTTTATAGCTTTCCGCGGCATATATATATACACTTTATAAATAGTCTAGAATCTACCTGCGGAAAAACGCCAACACTTCCCTGCAAATGTGACCGCTAGTTTCCGTTTATCGATGAAATAAAAACATCTTTCTTCTTGGCGGATATTGCGCGCAGTGTTTTTGAATGGCAAGGGGAATTCTTTACTTCTACCAACTACAGTCGTAGACCATCGGTTTTCTTCATAGCGTATATGACTCCATTGACTCCATATAATGAAAAGAGTTTTGCTTCTGTGAGATACGTATGGCTGAGCTTTCTTCACAAGACTCCTCTTGAATGGTTGACAACTGCTTATTGCAACGCCCATTGGGCGTTTGGCGAATATCCGAAAATTGTCCTTCTTCGTCATTTACATTGCCTCTTTGATTGCTACTTATACTTCTACAGCAAAAATAATAGAATATTACGATGCTCCACACAAGAAAAACAACAGTAGTTAACAACGGTAACCCAAAACGACTGAATGACATTCCCATTGCAAGACGAAGATTATATTGCCATAGAAAACGTCGTCTAGAGTGTTAAGTTTTTAGTTTCATGGGTTCTCAAACGACAATTTTCATAGTAGTTTCAATTCAGAATGAGTTTTTTGTGAGTTTGTCTCAATGACGACGAAGTTTCACGCAAGGAAACGCCAGCTTATGGATACAGAAGTCTTCCACAAACATGTACTGAATAAGTTACGTAAGATGGAAAAGCGCATTTGAATAAGTTCTATTAACCATCCAGCTGTACTTATCTCACGTTTATATCGACAAATGCCTGACTGTTTTTAAAAATATACGAAATAGAACCAGCCTGAGGGAAATAACTGGGAAAATATTTGTAAACATTTAACAAATCAGAGAACGATAAATACCAACATAAACCGGGTAAAAGGGCATCGTTTGCTTTGACTAAATGCACAAATGGAAGCTAAAAGATCGCGATTTTCTCGATGCCATAGATTAACATTTATCTCTCGCCCAGGAATAAATGGAATTAACGCACTTGGATTGTTTAATTGCTTTTTAATGTATTATGTTAGAAGTAAAACAACGATATGCAGTGGATGAAATCTCCGGCTTACCTATGTAGATACGTTGGAAATCGGATTTCTGAAGCGTACCCGCTGTGAGATAGCTTGAAGAAAGGCAGCTGCCTGCCTTGCGATATAAGATACGTTACGACTTCAAAAGTGAATGATTTGCATTGGGTAAGGAGAACACGCCGACTTTTTGTAAACGATCAGAGTGCAAACGACAGTTGTAAATCTGCGAGCGCAAGTGCGGTACACATTAGCAAAACGACCAGTGTAAATGACACAAACCGCACAAGAAAAGAAACTTTTTTAAATCAGTTTTTTCAGTTTACTTTCGTTTGTTTTTACGTTTTACGTTTTTTTTACGCAATATGTGTTTGTATTTGAAGAAGGCTAAAATCCTCTGGCAGCAGGGTACTAGTTGAGTAGTTCTTCAAGGTGATAAAACGAGTCATGACTTACACTGGTTGGCGGAAAAAATGGGATGCCGTGCAAAGTGCATGGGATTTTTGTCATGAAAAAAAACTTGGGAAATTGTATTGTTTAACGAGGTAGATAATAAAATACAAGTTAAAACTCCTTGTCACCTTCACGTCATCTCTGAGAGGACTGGCTGTGCCACTGCAAACTCTAAAAGAATGAAAGTGTACTCATCAAAAGCGCTAAATAGTGAACATTAATTAGTGCACTTGGCGCGCAGCATTGTTTCTGTTCAAGTTTAGGTTTAGAGAAACAAAGCCAAAATTTGTATCTGAAAATAGAACGAGAGTCTGCTTTGCGCAGCAACTTTCTTCGACTCGTTGATCGTGCGTGACGAAAAACGAGAAACATTGAACAGAAACAATGTTGCGCGCCAAGTTGATTTTTTTTGTATCTCGTATTTTGCCGTCTTTAGACAATAGACAACACAGGAGGAATTCGACTAGTTCAATACACTTTAGCACTTTTTAATACCAAACGTTTTCCAAAGTATTTGCACTTTAACTACTTTTTTACAAGTCTATTTTCGTTGTGCTGCAGCTGCAGGTCAATAAGCATCTTAGATTGAAAATACTAAAATTATATTTGAAGTTACATAAATATTACAGCCTTATCATCCCCAGTCACCTTATCAAAAGGGCATGGTGAGAAGATTGGCAAAGTCCAAAAAGTCGTTTTACTTGTTGCGTGTAATTGTAACACTGGTAAAATATGTCCTACAGCACATTTCGTTTTGTTTGGTTGATCAAGCATGCACAAATTATATCCACTACGTGGGGCCCCACACGTACCCGTAATTTGTTTAGTTATTTGCACACTATTTTAACATGTCAGTCATCAGGATTTTTTCCCTCTTTTACTGATCATTTAGCCATCCAGGATTTCAAGAACTTTGTATCAAGAAAATTGTAGAAATTCCTGAAAGTCATCCACTGGCTTAGGGCCCATTGTGTATATCATTCATAAGCACTGTTAAAACTTTGAAGATGCAAATCAAGTGCATAGTATAGTGATTTTTTAGTGTAAATTTAAAGCATCTAAAACTATAAAATAATCAATATCTGTTTATAAAACTGTTAAGAATGTGCAGGGAAAATGAAAACATGATCAATATCAAGCAAGAATTCAACACATTTTTACTTCAAAGTATCAATTATATTTTCTATTGTTGATCCTAAGAAAAGGTGTTGTAATTGCATAATTGCTTGATGTGGTATATTTTTTTGTATGGAATTATAACTCTTTATCTTTTAAGGACCTTTTTTTATTTTCATCGATCTATTATTACTGCCTAGTCAATCTTACATAAAAGGTGACTTAAAATATATAATTTATGCTCAGGTATTAAAAAGTCTTTAAAAAGTGTGATTTTAATGACGAATGAATAATGATGGTCAGACCTTGTCTAAACTTTTGCATTTTTTCGTTCTGTGTGCTAAAGGAAATGCAGAAAAACAAAAACAAAACAATACAAAAATGCATCAGTTTCACACGGCCTTTGAGTATGCAGACAGAGTGCTAGTTTTTATTTTATTAATAATACAAATTAAGTATACTCTATAAATTATAAAATGTTCCAAAAACTCAAATCATTAGCCAAAGAAAATTCTGAAAGATAATATTTACAATTTATATCTCAAAAAATCAACAGAATGTAGGCATAAATTCGACTTATTGTAAATTACACAGTTTTAAGCCACAAATAGATTACGTATGATTTGAATTTTTGGGAGTCTTCCTCTATAGTCTTGCCCACTTTGAGTGGAACTGATGAAGAAGAGAATAGTTACATAAAGAAAGAAAAATTAGCATTTCATAGAAATGAAATTTTAATTTGCAGATGGCTTGAGGCCAAGAGCACAGCTACTAATTACTGACTTTTTACAACTTTAGAGCTGAAACTCAGGGATACATTCTGTTTCAGCTAAATGAAGGATTTGATCCTTATAAGCAATAATCATATTAATATTATTAATATATCATTAAAATAAACTATAAAAGTCATTCTCACATGCAGTGGGTGTCTTGACTTGGGATATTTTTGTACAACTGTGATAGTATATAATTACGAAATATGATATATAATTCAATCTATAATTTAGATATAATACCAGCAGTAGTAGCCTTCTGCAATAGCCACCTTTTGCACGTGAAAACATTTGTGACTCTATGCCATTAGTACATGCACTTAAGCCAAATATACAGTTCAATGAGGCCCCCAAAGGTTTGAATTGTTGGCATTTTCTCAATCTCTTAGTAAAAAAACAAACAAAATGGTATACAAACACTAAATAGGTGCAAGTACACTTAGCTCTAAGTATTTCTTGTTGAACAAAATTATTCTGACTATAATAATTATAAAGAACTGGGCGCATAATTTAGCATTTTGCTGTATAGTCAGTGTATATATATTCCGCAATTTCAGTGTTTGCACGTATGTATATCCTCTAGATCTATTTGTGTATAAAGTCGCACAAACACAGTTTTAATATGGATGTTTTGTACTTTAGACTAATTAAAATATAATATATTAAGGGCATCCTCATAGGAACCAAGGATTATTTTCCTATTAATCAATTCCTTGCTTCATTGAAATGGAGAGTGATGTTGAAGCTTGATCCAAAATTATATAAATTTACTCTTTTAAGCAACAGTGAGTACATGACAGCTGATAGCCCCTGGATACCTAAGGGTGTTTCAAGTGTAGCAAGCAGTGCCTAGCACATACTAGGTATCCCCATATGCAATTTAAAAATGATTATATCTTAAAAACATCATTGAAAAAGTGAGTGTGAATATTATAAACTTAGTACCTATTTGTTGTCATATGAGTTAAACTTGAATACACTACACTTTGGTATATACGATTGTGACTGTGATGGTGAGGGTGATTTTAGTCTTCATATCCACTATCGTGTCCCACTGCAGTAGCATCACTACTTCCATTGCTGCTGTCCGACCCAGTTTCACATTCAATCACAATTCGATCAGTTACTGGATCTGGACACTGGGAATTGCAGTTGCACTGGATTTCTTTATTTCCCAGAACTTTAGAATTTTCACTTTCTTCCTCTTCCACTATTGAATCTCCCTCGGCAATTACAGGGAGATCAGGAGATTTCATACAATGTCCTTTTTGGCATTTTATTTTGCAGTGTTGTTTTGTCTTGGTAACAGGGCACTGCTCTGATCTGCATGAGTTCAAAGAGTATCTCTCGTTGTTCTTGGTRTAATAAAAAACCTTTTCAGGTCGGTATTCCTTTGGTCTACAATAAACCAGGCTATTTGAAACTGGTATAGGACAAATATCAGTATAAAATTGCCCGTAAGAGTAATCGACTGTGCTATAGCAGTACGTGTCATCCATATATTTCACAGTGCACGTTGTTTGTTTATTAGAGGCAGACTTTGAAGTATGTGCCTTCTTTCTCATTTTCTTGGGCTTCCAGTAGCAGTAATAGCAACAAAATACAGCGATAAAAAGAATCAGTAAAACTGGAGTAACAACAGGTCCGACCCAACGTGGTATATTTATAGAACTCATTTTGAGAAGTACAGTTTAACACTGGTAATACGACGAATGCATGGAACAAAGATAAGTCTGAATTATCAATGCCGATGTGTTCAATTCATATCGATTACTTCCGACAAATCACGTGCAGTGTTGTTGTCTGTTGAAAATAAAATTTTAAAACATAATTCAAGTGTGTTAAATAAGATTTAAATACGAGGGTGACATGACGCTCTCAGGAGCAGTAGTTGTGCATCAAGTTTCTCTCTCGATTCATAGTTTAGTAGACTATTATTCTCGTATCTCACCTTCAATATTCAGCGCTTGTTTTAGAGTTTTTTTGAATTACTTTGTTTTTAAGTCTCCAAGTTTAGCCAGTAATACGGACTTTCTTTTTCACTACGAAAATATTTTTCCATCGGGGAGCCTTGTTTGTTTTTGTTGGCGGATGGATGGATCTGCCTGCACATGATAAATATTCATGTTTCTGGAGACAATGCCGATGCGTGATGTGCCGTGTGTGTCTTAATAGTGGGGTCACAAAGGTTAGAACTTTCGTGCGTGATCCTTCGGTGAAGACAGATAAAAGATAAATATGTTTAACGACACAGCATTTCCATTGACGAGCGATGGACGATGACCACACAAAGTCACCGCCTGACACAAACACGTACGAAGTTTTTTACCACAGGGATCCCAATCCTTTTTATTGCGTGACCACGTTTATAAATGAAATATCCACTAGTATAGCTCCTAGCTTGTACAAAAGAGGTTTTATTTCGTGGATATAATGACATGGTGCTTTCTAGTCTAAGGTTCAGTCTATATATGTACACAACAAAATATATCTACACGTAATTTAGGATTTTTATAAAACTACCACTTTTATATATCAGTGATGCATTTTTTATGTATAGTTTAAAACACGAGAGAGAGTGTTTTATCAGGTATAATGATTCGAGATGAAGGCGAGAATCTTTATACCTGATAAAACACGATCTCGAGTGTTTTAAACGGCTTAAAAAACTCCAACACTAATTTGAAACTCAAATCCGTTAAAATTCTTGGAGAAATTGCCGTTCAAATATGTTCAGAGATAAATAGGGCAAATTGATCATGCGCGAATCACTTAAAGCACTCTTGTCATCCCACATTGAATACGCATAAAGTAAAATAGAACCGCTCTTGTCTGTTCACTGAAATTGGTTGACATCCTGCATTGGTCAATGATCAGGTTTCAAACCTGAGACCTTTGCTAGGGTCATGGACCTTTGTATCTGATAAAGGTCACCCTTATTAGTATTCTTTATATAAAGAATACTAATAAGGAGTGTTTTATCAGATATAAAGGTCCATGCATGTGACCAAATAGGCTCATTCTATTGGCCTAGTAGCTCATTAATTATGTATAAGTTTTTTAAGTACCTACATTACATTTTTGCCTAAGGTCTCTACTCCTTTTTGGTAAAATTGTACACCAAAGTCATAAAAAAGACATAAAATATTAATTTTAACAGTTATTATACAGTTAGGTTTCTTTTGTAAACCATTCTGGAAGAAAACTATTTTCACCATTTTTACAATCCTCCATTATAATATTTTCAAACGGTGATTTAAACGAAAAAATATACACTTTCTTTGGGTCATCTTCTGTGACGACCATCTTAACCCAGTCAAGAAACTTATTCAAAAAGTTCAAGCAAATGTTCATGTCCCACATGTTGTCCTCATTCCTGACCATCCTTGGGATTTCTAGAGTGTTGTAAGTTTGTAACTCGTTGACTTTGCCATGGTGATGACGAAAGCCGCAAATGATTTTGGGAATACCGGCTAAGAATGACTGAGCCCACCACTTTAGAAGTTTATACCTTTTGAATGACCAGTGTTGGTGATGGCTGTGAGGGTGGTTGGATGTTTTTAGCTCAATGTAGTTCCCAGGAGATTCTTCAGTTTCCTGTACAATAAATTATAAATAAGAAATGAAATATAAATGTAATTAGAATACTCCATGTACTTGGAGCCCTGGGGTACAAATAGTTTGTTCAAACCAGATCAAATTGTCCAGAACTAATCGGACTTCCTCTAGTTATGTCACACTTTTCCTGTTGTTTTGGGAAAGTCCTTATCTTGCACATAAAGACCAAAAATTCAGGATAAAATTGAATTTTACTATAAATCTTTTAGGGTTTATTGTTATCTGAATGGAGATTCAATGTATCAAAATTTAAAAAACAAATCCAAACTTACTCTTGTGCAACAATCTACTTCAGCTCCAAACACCATTGAATGCCTTTCGAGTCTTGTCCTTACGACAGATACAAATCCCTCGCTGTTGTTGACTGGACTTTGCTTCTTTGGGGCATCAGCACTGGAAGCTGCAGCATCTGTAGAGGTGCTTGGCATCTCTCCTGACTTCTTCTTTAGCTTTTCTGAAACTAAGCGGCAAACATAGGTCTCAAACTTGTGGCCCCAGTAGCACATCTCTTTGTGTTTCTCTTCCATGTTTTTCCGTTTGTCATAAGCTTCCTGTGTTTCAATTTCGCTGATGTATATTGTTCCCTTGTGCAATGTTGCAGCAAATTTCCATGGTTCACGGATCTCATATGGTGTTACAAGAAGCTTTGTCACATGACCTCTCCAAGTTATGAAGTCTGTATGAAGACTAAGAAGTGAAGAACAAAGATTTTTTTTAATGTAAAGAGCCTGTACATGTAAGTACTGCAGAGTCTTGTATAGCACATTATTTAAGAAATATAAAATGGCATGCATGTCTCTGTCCTATGATATAAACATGGTGGGAGTTGAAGAACATGAGAGAAGCAAGCTTAGAAACACAAGTGTAGTGAGTGTTTCTCTTGCTTCTAGAGTGCTTTTCAACTCCCACCATGTTTACATTAGAGGACAGAGATACAAGCGGTCATTTTATAGTTCTTTTATAAAATTTTTCTGCGTTTTTCCAACAAAAAACAAATTTTGCCTTTAAGCTGTGTCTCTGTCCTCTGATATAAACACAGTCTTCAGCCAATCAGAGCGCACATTATATATCAAAAATGTTATAAAATAGAAATATAGCACATTTACTGTGGTTACACTAGCTTATTATGATTATGATTCATTATGGCCACTTTTTCTTAATTTTTTCTGCCTTTCTTTTTCATAAGTTAGTTTTTAGTTCAAATATAAGCTTATCTACATTGTACTATTGTTTGCACTGTTTACATACTGTATACAGCTTTTCTGACCGCAAAATAAATGCTAATATATGGAACGTTTATCCTTACTTGGTAAAGGCTTGAGATGACGCTGCCTGGCCATTTTCAACAGAATCTTTCTTCGGAAGTTCAAACCTTTCCCTGTGTTTGTTAATCCACATCAACAAGTGGTCAAGGTGTTCTTTCACATCGTCATCCCTTTCAACATAGTCCTTATAACCAGCTCTTAAGTCAAAATCTATAGTGCGAGGAGGGTGGAAATACTTCAATTGGTGATTGTCGTCGTGAAACTTACGGTCGACATCCAACGAAAAGCATCCAACTTCAACTGGTTTACGAAACGAAGGTAACACTTCTGAATGTAGTGACTCGATTGGGGTAACGTGAAATACACTATGGGGACGCTCTTCGGTTCTTGGTACTTTACTTTCAGATTCTCCGGGGTCTTCAGTTCGTCTTTTCATTTTCTTTGTGCATTTAGCTCATAATTATGTACCTAAAACAACATCTATGTTTCACAACTCAAGATGGCCAAGCGTAAAAATTACCAGGCGTTCCACATCGCTTCAATTTTGGCCGTGTAGGAATAAGTTCTAGAATTCTGTTGTGGGCTTCCTGTTTATTTGGGTTTTTGAGAAGATTTTCACATGGCATAATTTTCACCAGTGGCCCCGCTTCTTTAGGTCAGAATTTTTAATCCTTTGATCACAAATATAATTTCAAATTTGATCCCTGATCCTTATTGGATGATCACATGTTTTAAACAGCTGATGAGTTTGCTATGCAGGTTAGACCCAGGCTGGCTAGGCCAGGCCTTCTCCTCTTAGCTCAGCTCAGAGCCGTGCTATAGTACTAGTACTTTACCCGGGTTTGAGAGGCTTGATATTTCAAGTACCATGATCACCTCGGATTCCATTGTCTTCCAAGGGGTTTACAAACCTGAATTTCCCTCATGAATAACATGAGGGAAATTTAGAAGACAAAGGATTCTTTTGTCTTTTACTAAATTTCCCTCTATTTAATTTAGGCAAGGGAGATTTAGTATTGTCTTTTACTAAATTTCCCTCTATTTAATTTATGCAAGGGAAATTTAGTAAAAGACAATACTTCAATACTAAATTTCCCAAAAATTTCCACAAATTTTCCCTCGGTTTTGGAGAAATTTAATCACTACTTTCCCTCCTTTCATGGTATTATTATAAATATAACTATAGCCCTCCCTCTGAAAATCCCCCCACCTGGTACATTCAATGAAATGTTGTTATTTGTGTTCATTTTTTACTACAAAACCATGTCCAATTTTATCAAAGTAAACTAATAATAATAATAATGATACAGTGGTTTTGATTCATTTTATTTCTGTTTTGTTTGCAGGATCACATTACTTCTTTCAGAACATCTAATTTCCCTGTAAGTTTCTTGCAAGCTGTAAAAATTAAGAAGACAGTTATAAATCAAATGGCCAAATAAAATTCACCAAGTCTTCATATCTTTGAAATAACTCCAGTAAGTTGTCTTTTATTATAGATTCAGGCTAAACCAATGAAAAACACCTGATTATACATTAATAATAGCAAATTATTACGTTAACAAATAACCTACCTCTTCGCATTTGTGTATCTGCCTTATGAAAAACTCTCCATATCGTCGTTCTACTTTGGTATCAGCAATGTGGATCATATCCTTTGGATTTCAAACAAATAATAATTTAATTGTCACTGAGAGTGAAGTCATCAAACCCATAAAACCAAGTGTGATTAAGTCAAAAAGATACAAAGCAAAACAATGCAATTAGTGCGTATTAACATGTATTTGTGTAATATCTATTTCATGGGTTTTGTGACTTCACTGTCAGTAGTACTTCATATACAACATTAAAGTACATTGTGTACACTGTGTCACTCTCTGACATTTTCAACAAGATTTCTCATAAATTGATAATATAGGATTCATACTCTACTAATTTACTCTAACTAAGTTTGCTATGGTTTTGATTTTGAAGGTCTATCTCCTTGAGGAGACAAATGCATGAAGGTGTTTTTTTTCAGATTTTTTGGGTATTACATATAATACCTTGTCAATATAGAAATCAACTTCTGACGAAGACTGCAGTTCACCATCCAGTGCATCTTTTCCCAATGTCCAGACCAAGTTTCTCTGCTTGTGCTGAAATAAAGTGCAGTGTGAAAAAAAACGTTATAAAATACAGAAGCCTTGCTCATGTTCACATTGATGAGCGACTATTTACCTTGTAGCAAAGTAGCTGGTTTCTAAAAGTATCTTCATCCATGTCAAGAAAGGCAGCCAGCTTGGATATTGGCATAGTGGTGTACAATTTCAGATAACTGAAAAATATAAGAATGACCTTAATATCAAAAGGTGTCACAAGAATTCAGGAGGCCAAAAAAACTTGCTTCATGGTAAATGTTTTATAACTAGTATAAATGTTGACTGAAAATAAATGAATCAGCTATCCAATCACCGATTCGGCAATTACTATAACAATCGATCAGCTTACCAGATCTGCACTATTATAAAGCATACCTGCGAACTATTGGAATCTTTGATTGCTGTGCCACTTCATTCATGAAAACCTTCAGCTGTAGGTTGAATGGCTCCTAAAAAATCATTACATTAACCTAATTAAGTAAGTACATGTAATGTAGATATGAAAAAGTTCATATTTACAACATAGCAATGGAACTTACATTTTACAATAACCAAAGTGAATTTTTACAAACATTAATGTTACATCAGTTGGTTTTATATGTTTGATTAAATCACTGTACGAAAATTTTAGTACTATTTTCCTCAGTGTAGTTCTGCTACCCTGTTGTGCTAACATACATGTACATCAAATGCTTCTGGATTATGCAACTGCATTTAGAAATCCTAAAAACAATCAGCCTTGCAGAGTTCTACATTAATCAGGCACACTAACCCTGTTGTAGTTTGCTGGTGCATCAAAGTTTGGAGGGACAGGAGAGATGAACTTAGGGCAGGCATAGGAGAAACATTCTTCAAATGCTTGCAAATCTCTGCAATGCAAATTGGAAATATCAAAACAAATTCATTGGCAATATTGACTGCATAAATGTTAAACAACCACACTTACCCCCGTTGGAGTTTTTGCAGTTTTTCACCACATTTTTCACGCATCTGTGCACTCACGTTTTCATCCAATCTCTGTTGCATGGAAGAAAGACAGTAACATTTAGCAACTAAGTTGATTATTACTTTTGTATAGATGTTAATTTTAAGTCTAGTACACATGTTTTCCTGTACTTACTTCAGGACAAAGAGTGACAGCAATTGCCAAAAGGGAATACATCTGTTCGCCTTTCTTCATAATCTAAAGACAAAAGAAGATAATAAATTACATTCAAAAACCATGAAGGATTTGAATCGTATCATATATAATTATTACCTGTTCAAACTGGTATGACTTGGTCTGAAACATTTGTTTTGTCCTTTGAATGTACAGAAGGATATTGGAGAAGGTTCTGATGGCATCCTTAGATTATCAAACAAAATTGGAAAATCAAATTTAATGCATTGATTATTTACTTCATTATTAATTATCATCATCATCATCATCATGATATTCACCTGATAACGTTTCATCATCAAGTAAGCAAACCCGACATAATAATACGTTGTGATTTGACAAGCAGGAATACGAGAATAAAGACTCTTCTTGTTCAATTCCACATTACTGAGTACTTTAATGGCCTGGAAATAGTCACCAAGCAATGAATGGAGTCTGAGTAAACCAATCAGACTGAAATAACCCAGCATCTTGTACAATGAGTGGATCCCAAACTCTCCAGCAACTGAATCAGGGTCACCGCCACTGCTATAGACTTGCAACTACAGAAAGAAATAGTAGTCCAAACTGAATAATATGAAAGTAGTGAAAAAGTGATGTTTTGAATACAATGGTAAGAACAATTGCCCTTTTTGGAAATGTAGCCATAGCTGCGTTTGCATTAAAAGCAATAAAATTATTGAGCAGTGTAATTATTATTCATACCTGTTGGTTGATGTTTGACTTCTCAACAAGTGAATACAATACATTAAGAACGCTGTGTACATTCCATATCTGCAATTAAACAAAAGAGGATTCAAGCTCAGTGGAACAATACTCAAGATAGAGTAGTTTTAATAAACCCTGAAAATATATTTAAGTATATTACACCATATCATCCTTTATCTTTCACATTTTTCTTTTTCTTCTTGTTGTGTCAACCATTATTACACTTTAACAATACACATTGTTTCATGGGTATTTCAGAATGTAAGTTTAAGTTCCTTACTTTATTCCCTTGCTAAGACTACGCCTTTCTTCCAGGGATTTATTTAATATATTAATTCTCATTCACTATACAAACCTTAGTATTTGCTTTCAATGTTCCCACTTCCTCGTCTGGCTTCTTTTGAAGTTTTGAACGAAACTGACTGAACGATTGAAACTACAAAATTGAATGACAGTTATATTAATGATCATTTTATTTTGTTTATCAGAAACACCATTAATTATAGTAGTAAGCATTTGCCTGTGCAGTTAACAGTACAGCTTACACAGCCACAACATGGTAAGGACTGATTTACACACACATAAGCATAATCATTGTCATATTTATAGGACTTTAGACAACATTAGAACCATGCTTGTGGCTTATGTTAGTCTTCCATTAGCCTCCTTCCCAGTCAACTCTTTTTTCCTACTTTGGGCTTCCTTTGTATGGTCATCTTGGCCGCTAGGGACTAGTGATGAGAAAGGGGGAAAAACAGGAAGCCCATGATTCTTTGTGATGCCGGCGAAGGAGGCTGTTCTTCCATGTTTGTATAGTCAATATCTATGTCTTAAACTTGACTTTATCTCTTGTGTTTTCCTTTGTTATCTGTTTATACTTATATCTCGCAGTATAAATCGGCCCATATATTTGTAACATCTCAGGTACCTGATAGATAAATTCATCAATAATATCCCACAGCCATTGGTTGGGCAGAGTTAGTGGAACTGGTTCATCGGTGTCTAGACAAACAGTAAGTTAAACATTAAGTCATAATTAAATAACATACCTTTTATTAACAGCAAAAACCATACTCAAAGTTTAATTGACATTTGTTAACTTTTTTGCTGCGACTTGGGGCAAAATTTCAATCAATGTTAGACTATATGGATTGTACAGCATAAAAAAAGAATAGATCAGTTACTTAATATCCAGACCTAAAAAACATGCGTTTTAAAAATCTGGTAAAAGAAAATTCCAAACTTCTAGTGTCAGACCTGTCACAATAGAGTGGTTTTCAATAACCCGTGAAATACACTTTAGCGTATTACACTTTATTAAACTTTGTCTCTTTTGTTTTCAATCTATTATATTTCTTGGCTATTACACTTTATTACACTTTGACTATTACACTTTGTTTCACGGGTTAATGAGAACCACTCTATTACAAGGGGTTTTTTCTGAAAAAGCAACAGCAAAAGTAGTAGTTGCATCAACATAACTAGTCCTTTTATTCCAGCTTACTTAGTATATAGTTGAAGAGATCACAGTAGTTATAATAAGACTCAAATCTTTGGTCCAATGTAGGCTGAAACAAAAGTTCACAGCAAATATATCAAGGCTACAATACAAACAAATGATTTTGAAACAACAATATTTGCAAAGCTATACCTTTAGTTTATTGTAGATGTGTCTGTAGTAAAGCTCCTTGTATAAGATTAAGAACACTTGATCTAATAGAACATTCAATCAGTTATGTTCCACTCAATCGTAAATTCCTCATAAGTCAGTCAATCAAATAGTATAATTTATTTACCATCTTCCACAAGGGGTGAGATGTAGTCTGCCTCTGGCCAAGGAGACTTGTTAAAGTATCTCTCTGTCAATCTGTTGAATCTTTTCAATCATAAAAATCTTTATTTAAATACTCAGTTTTGTTTCTTCTACATTGGTTTTAATTTTTCGAGCTTTCTGACAACTTGTTCATTTTGGGCAAAATGAAATTACAATGCTTCTCTTGCTCTTAATTCCCCCCCTCCCCCCTCCCCCAAACTCATATTTATAATAGGACAGCAACATAGTGCCATTTCTCTTAAAAACGTTTCAGCTTTTTTTTTTCAAGCATACATTTACAAAATGCTGACATACTATGTCTCTGAACAAACATATATTGGGATTGCAGCAAGTAGCACTGTTTGGTGCTCCGAAATATTCAAATTGATTAGCATAATTTGGATATCATATCATAGGCTACCCAACTATTGCTTGAGAGAAAGAAAAGAATGAATGCGCACGCTTTTATATTATGTTATCGAATCGGCGTGCGCTGTGGGTTACCTGTGGTATTACGTCACTATCGCGCGCCTCGCGGGATACAAACTAGTCTGTGACAAGGTATGAAACACTGGTCACGTGATGGATCGATGTGTGCMCCAGGCAGCTGGGCATAAGATCTGAAACTATTGCGTCATCATCGGAAACCGAGCGGACTTCCAACTCGTGAGATTGTCGAGAACTATCGTGAACCATCGAGACTTTCACGCAGTATTTTCGTAATTCCCGAAGTATGTAGATTTTACATCACAATTTCTTGACGTCCTTTAGGTTGTGTATAGTTTACAAAACAAAACAAAACATGAGCAAAATTACTCCAAACTTTGAGCAAAGGAAAGCCGTAGCTAGACCTGGCTATGTCTGGAAACAATGTTTTTCTAAGTGGCAGAGCCGGTACAGGGAAAACTTTCACGGTCAAATACCTCGTGAAAATGTTGGAAAAGCACAAAACTTTGTTAGTGGTGACCTGTACGACAGGGATGGCCTGCACTTTGTACGACAAGTCGAATAAAGAGTAAAAATCTGAACATTCAAATAATATCAAGGCTCTCTTTTCAAAATGCATAGTTTTATAAATTAAAACATCCGAGTAGTTTTATGTCAAAAAAGATTATTATTGTGGATAGAATGTACGTGTACACAATTCACACATATTTTCATTGTCAAAAAGCTCATTTAACTGAGAAGTTTTGAAGTGTATCAGGTGAAGATTTTCGAATTCAAAAGCAAATTTAAACCAGATTAAAACTGCCAAAGGTTGTTGAAGTAGAAGAATTGATATAATTTGAGCACCAAAAACCGATTGCACATATAATCTAACATACCGCCATTTGTTTAATAACGCCACGGTATCGTCGGAGAATATGTCAGTTCTCCTCTGAGAAATTCTCCATCAATAATCGTTGTCTTTGGCGTTCAGGTCACCACCAAGGTTTTGTGCTTTTCCAACATTTTCACGAGGTATTTGACCGTGAAAGTTTTCCCTGTACCGGCTCTGCCACTTAGAAAAACATTGTGTCCAGACATAGCCAGGTCTACGGCTTTCCTTTGCTCAAAGTTTGGAGTAATTTCGCTCATGTTTTGTTTTGTTTTGTAAACTATACACAACCTAAAGGACGTCAAGAAATGTGATGTAAAAGCTACATACTTCGGGAATTACGAAAATACTCCGTGAAAGTCTCGATGGTTCACGATAGTTCTCGACAATCTCACGAGTTGGAAGTCCGCTCGGTTTCCGATGATGACGCAATAGTTTCAGATCTTATGCCCAGCTGCCTGGTGCACACATCGGTCCACGACGAGTAAAATGCTTAACGTTCATTTTCTCCTCATGTAATAAAMATTTCAGACTAAAAATCATGAGATAGTTAGGAGATCTGGCGATGTATTGTTATTTGAAAGAAAATTGTCGTTTTTTCAGTTTTTCAACGAAATAGGAGCAAAATTATATTTGTCACGTGACCAGTGTTTCATACCTTGTCACAGACTAGTTTGTATCCCGCGAGGCGCGCGATAGTGACGTAATATACCACAGGTAACCCGCATTTTKKYTAAGAKYGCGCGCCGATACATATACATAATAAAAGCGTGCGCATTCGCTCTTTTCTGTCTGTAATGCAGTAGTTGGGCGGCCTATGATCATATTTGATAATAAAAGCTCCAAGTCAAAATAGCAATTGGAACTACAAATCAAAAATATTTTTTTTKTGTGTGTGTGTGTGTACATATTATGTTGCTTTTGTTTAGTATTCTAATATTTTCAAAGCTTATGGCAGATTTAATTGAGGAAAAATTTTCAACTGGCAAATCAAATATTGTAGAGTTGTAACACAAGAAATGAATGGCAGTTGCATTCTTCTTATGAGTCAGCCATTGGTGTGATCACATTATAAACATATCAAAATGTCCATTAAACTATAACTATATACTCATTAAGTTCTTACCCGTTCTCATAAATTAACTGAATATCGTGCAAGTTCTATGAAAAATACAAACACAGATTAATGAGAATTCAAAGAACATGACAGACGTTGTGTATTTTTTAAGTCAGATGCAACCAACAAAATACCTGCTCAATGATGTGCTTATGAAAAAAATGAATAAATCCTTTGATTTCCTCAGGCATGTGATAAGCTGGGAGAGTATGGACATCTACAAGAACCAATGAATGATCAGCTTTATAATTTGGTCGAGACTACATCACAAATATAATTTATCATAATGGTAAGTTTATTGATCAAATAGAAGTAATAAGGTTTCTAGGAAACTTACCATCATATTCTCCATTATAATTGTCAGCCTAAAGAAAAAAATATTTGATAGGTGAACAAAAAATGCCTCCAGTTAGATTAAAGCTTACATTAGAATAGATAAAACACAAATTATTCCATGTAAGCTTAAAAGAGTTCCCAAAATTGCATCTCAGAAAGCAATCAAAACAGCCTCAGCCACTCGTTAGTGTACTTGAAAGTGAATAATACAAATACATTCCTACATCTAGTTTTATTCAGCTGCATCGAAACATCGGTGACAATTTTGAACCGCTGATTATGAAAAGGCTCAAAATCTCACCAATAGACACAAAACATCGACATGAAATTGCTCTCAAAGAAAGAGTGAATTACTAATGTACTTACATCATCGTCGTCAGCTTGAGAATACATCTTCGAACTACAAAATAAGCGAAATTCAAAAACACTTTTGAAGATCAACCGGCAAAGACGATTCACTTGCGAACATGTGCGCTTTGTAACCGCCCCTAATGGAAAATAGTCCTCTCCCCTCCCCCGAGAGGTCTTACATGTATTACAGGTGAATGTTTTGAATAAACAAAGGAGACAAGATAGAAAAAAAGAAATGGAACCAAAGAGAATAAAAGCATGTCGTGAAATCGAGGACTTACGAAAAAAAGCGAAAGGAATTACACAAAGAAGAAAAGAACAAAAAGAGAAAATGGAATGAAAAAAAATATCCCTTACAGCTGTAAAATACTTCTTGTATAGTAATTTTATTATTCTTTCAATTTCGGCGTGTTGACAGTAATCAGAGCAAACTTGATCCTTGAGACCTAAAACTGACCTAAAATCTTTTTTTTAAGTCTATTTCTCTTCCAAAAGCTTTTTCCGTTTCTTCTTTTTTTATTTTCGATAAATACTCGTTTTGTCATTTCTTAATCAATGTTCTCATTCTTTCACTTTCGATTCTTGTCGAATTCACCCCATGTGATCAAGGCATGCTAAACGATTTACATGACCGATCACCTGATGTGACGTCACACACGCGATCATTCGAAAAACGCTCTCAAGCATACAAACCTCATTTTGTTATTGTACAAGATTTTATCCACGCTTCAGCTTCCACTTTTTCGCTAATTCTTACGCGTTCAAGACCAACTTGAAGAAAAAAGAACCAAGTTATATTGGCCAAAATCGAGTCTATCTGCGAGATCGTCTTGGGATTCTTTTGTCGCATGCCAGAGTAACGCTGGAAAATATTGCGTGACAACGTCGGAGAAAATTTTGGGGGATATTTTTTCTGCTTAAAAAAAAATCCCAAACACTATTTACGGTATCACTCTTCGCCTGCTGTGAAGGCTACTGTTTTGACAGACATCAGCTTCAAAAATTCTCAGACATGATCCATTTAGTCGTGGTTGTTTTTGTTCTTTGCTCCTGTACTTGTAAAGGATACCCTTCTAAATGCAAGGATGACAGCTACTTCGACCCGATGAGCCAAAAATATTTGCCTTGCTCTGAATGCAACGAAAAAATTCAAAAACTATGCTACCATTGCTGCCCCCAGAAAGGTAAGACTGCGATGGCAATAACATTAAAACTCGCTGAAAACACCTGATATGACTTTTTTAACAATTTAATGTATATGTATTTAATTTATTTATTTGGCACTGGCAAGCTTTTGTCCATAACACGTTTTTTCCCTCTTCGAGAATACTAGTATTTTTTTGATAAGATTTCTTTTAGTGTCGCTTTTCTGTCATAATTTTCTGTAATGTATCTGCTGTTTGCCTAAATTTGCTTACACAGTTGCCAGAGAAAGCCTCATTCCGGACACGTAGCCCACGAGTTTTTTATCATTGCAGTGATTATCATTAATGTATTTTAAGTTCATTTCACTTGTTTTCAACTGAAATTTGACAAATATAAAAAATATATAATTTTTGGAATTTTCCATTTTTCTTTCAATATTTTTTTTCTTTTATTTTTTCTTCTATTCGGTTGGTACAAAGTCAACAATATGGAGATGTTTGTAAGAGAAAATGTGTTGATAAAGCACTTTCTAATTCTGATGAAATACCCACAAATGTTACAATGCTTGAACCCTTCCAGGAAGTACCACCACAGGAAGCCCAACACGGAAATATATGTTTACTTGTCAAAATTTTAATTATAATTAGAGTAATACTACTCATTTAATAATCTTTAACACATCAATAGCAAAATGTTTATATCCATTTTGAAAGAGAGGGACATAACATTATATTTAACTACACTAGTACAAAGCCAGTAGATTTTTCGAACTTTTTAGCTGTGTATAGTTGTGTCTTAAATGGAAGGGGTGGCAAATGGACTCTGGAAAAGCTACAACTTTTGTTTTAATAATCAAAGTCTTGGTATTGCACCTCTATCCAAATTTTTTTGTGGATCCCAAATTTGAAAATCTCCATTTCATCTAAAAAAAACTTGGAAGGACCATTTGCCACTCCTTAGGACTTTGTCAAGAATAATAATCAAAAAATATATAATATTCTTATCTTCTGTAGATACAGATGCTATCTACCTGTCAAAGCCACAGACAACAGAGTCAGTCCCTTCAATAAAGTATGAAGATACAGCCAAGCAGAACATTGTTGGCCTCATTTTCCACATCCTCATAATCAGTATGGTTGTATGCACATTATCTGTGATTGTGTGTGTTGGAATCAAGGTGGCAAAGGACAGACGGACAAATAGTGAATGTAGCAGTGAAGACAGCAGGCATTCACATTGTCACGATGTGTCAGTTGTTGAGGAAGTTTGGGTTATGCCACCACAATCCAGCATGGAAAAATCACCACAATCTGTAAATGTTGTTGTCAGCCAGCTTCAAGAAAACACCTCAAAGCAAGGAGCATTAGAAAAGCCAATGTTATGATACTACAGTTACCAAGGTGATTTATGATGTCACCAAGGTGATTGTTGATGTTGCCTGGTTCTCAGATTCTGTTGCCAAGAGGATTATAAAACTGTTTCCAAGGTGGCTTGTACTTTTGTCAAGGTGATTAATACTGTTACCAAGATGATTGATTCCAATGCCAAGGTGACTGGTACTGTTGCCAAGGATATGGTTATTGTCAACAAAAATCAATACTAGAATTTAAGGCTACAAAAAGTGGACTATTTATAGTTTCATACTGTCAATTTTAGATCATTGTTATGAAATACATGCTGAACTGCAGAATTGTACTGAATATAAATGCTATTGCTTTAGCAAAAAAAGCACATTTATATAGAAATGTTCATTTATAATATATGAAAAAGAGAGACATTAATTTTGTAGTATAAAAAGAAAAAATATACAATATGCAGAGAATAGTGACATTAAAATAGCATTAATGGTGTTAAAAGAAAAGTTGATATAGAGTACGTACAATATTGCCACTTGTCCAGCCTAGATGAGCACCAAGTATAACTATCAATAAGTTGCATTGGATGGGCCTAAATTGCACTGTACCCATTTTTCTTATGCACTGTTACACCAAAACGATTGATGGCAATCTCAAAGAAACAGAAAGCAGAATGAAGACGAAAAAAGATACACAGTGGATATGCGATGTGGCTAAGAATCTTCCAAGTAGAAAGTCCATAAGCAGCAATCTCAATTGCACCCTGGGTCTTAATGTCTTTAAGTTCAAAAGTATCCATTACCCAAATCCCAAAGTTTCCAAGGCTTAGGAGAGCGGACATATTACGTACCATAGCCAAGGCTGTGGGAGCTGCCAGGGAGACATCCTCTTGGCGACGCCCCAAGGCTTTTACTATGAAGATCGCCTGGAAAGAGAACTGAAGTAGTACCACTATGTTGTCTGCAACAAAGATCTTCATGACTGGACAGAATGAGGGCAGAGAGATACTGAGTGATGTAGTATTTGGGGTTGTTTCATTGCCATGTAACTGACATTCTGAAGATGAGTTTATGTCATAAATTGCAGAGATCACTTCAAATATTACCATCACATAGCAACCAGTAACTCCAATCATGATGAGGATAGAATCAACTCTTGTGTGAATCTTACTTTGAGAACTATATGACCTTGGCAGATACACCAATCCAAGTATTGAGGACATTAACATAAAAATGAACAATACAATTCTAAACACAAAGTAATATTTGTGGGGGTATTCAATGGCAGACAGTACTATAAGCACAAGGTAAAATACGAATACCAGAGCACCAAAAGTGTATCCACAGACTGCTGGTTTCCAGAAGATCATGGTCATTTGGTCACTTTCAGAATTTGTAAGACCATTACTAGGTGGTTTGAACTGGAACAGTTGTTTCATGATGTCCTTCAATCTCTCCCAACAGCCATAGAAAGAACAGCAGGAATTATCCAGGTTTTGCCTCCTTCCACTTTGGACAGCATCCTTCCTGAGTTCAAACCACATTAGAAGCAGTAACACAGAAGACATGACCGTATATTCGATGTTAAAAGTGTATAGATATGCGTCGGCAGATGTAACAAACTTGTTCATGTCATTCAGTTTCTTACAATTGGTGAAATTACCAGCCTTTGGTTCGTCTACAGATTCGTCCACTATGTAGTAAAACCAGGTTGACAGGTTGACAGCGATGATATGCAGAATAAAAAAGCTTGTGCACCATTGTCGGTAGAAGTTCACATCAGAGAGACGACAGAAGAAGTGCAGCTGGAAAATCAGAAATAATATTTTCACCACATTAAACACGCCCTCGCTACTGTCATGTTCAAGTTCTTTACATGTCAAAGTGTACAAAAATGCAATAAAGTCCACCCCAGCAATGAAGCAACTTCCAAGGCAGAAGATTGTCAAGCCGATGATCATGTAGCAGGGGATTTTGGTACCTTCCTCCCGTGCTGTCAGGCAGCATCCACCAAGAAGGTTGCGAGATACAAAGACACCAAGCATCCACAAGATTGCTATTCCCATGCAACATATAAAGAACCAGTTGATGTAAGTCTTGATGAGTCCAGGGGGTTTTTGTATTGTGACTGACAATGACAGCACTCCACCCAGGGAAAGTACAATGATAAAATATACAAGATTGCCTTGTGTTACTCCTAGAAGTCTGGAACATAGTGGACCTAAAATGTGTCAGTATAACTACACTGTAAGTACTGAAAAAAAAACATTAAAAACACATTTTTAGCAATTTTAATTTTAATTTTACAAAGTGCTACTTGCATGAAAATGGCCTTATTTCAAAACTTCAAGCAATACAAATATATGACTCATTGATATCTATTAAAAATAATTTAGGGATAATATTTGTTTTGGAATTATCCCACATCAGATAAATTTTGATTCAAAAGATGGAAGAACAAAAGGATGGAGTAAATGACGTCATCTACTCCAACATTTTTTGTTCATCATTATCAATATCATGAATGTTTTCTTGAAATCTGTTCCTTCATGATTATTAAACCCATATGGATAGGTCTATTTGATTTCCGAGTCTTTTCTAATGATTCGAAATTTTCGTCCAAGTAGCCCTTTAATACTTTTTAAAATGCCTTCTTCATGGATGAGAAGTCTAAGGCTTTTTGAAAGTAAGATATTGCATTATAATTCTTTGTTCTCATGAACAAGAAGAACTATGAATATTATGGCAACTCTCAGATTACTTGCAAAATATACCTTGGTCTGCAAAGGAATCCCTTGCTGGATGGTATTCTCCTGACTCAATAAGTTCTTCGTCATTTGCTTTGATGGCGATTGAAAAAAAGTGCCACAGTTTCAGAATTTGTTTCATTTTATTATTTGTGATCAACAAGAAGACTTATATGGATGTTTACACAACTCTCATCACTTGCAATACCTTGGTCTGCAAAGGAATCCTGTGCTGGTTGGTATTCTGCTGAGGCATTGATTGAAACTGTATCAAGTTCTTCGTCATGTGATTGCAGATGCTGATCTAAAAAAAGCACCACAGTTTGAGAAATGTATATTTTAATTTGCTTTGCTGACTAGTTGTCATACCAACATACCCCTCCTTGTACAGCGTAAAAATCTACTTACAGAAAAAGATACCATTTGCATAACTTGGTAAACTTTTGCCAACTGACTCACCGCAATGTTTAATGAGCTTTGTAGAATCTACACTTGAAATGTGAACTCGCCTTACCTCTAAGGTTACCTCTACGGTCGTCATTCTCAGCAAGATCCATGACTGATCCTCTGTATTAGAAAGGGTGTATTCTGAAAATGTATACATTCCTCTGTGACTTCTGTATTTGTGTTTATTCCTCATAGCCCTACCACACCCTCCTCTCCCCTAGTGGAATTGTGCACCTTTTTCCCATCTACCACTTAAAACAGTAAATTCCCAGGCTATTATGTGTTTTGGGTCCTCACGGTGGTCAGCCAGTTGATCTCCGAATTTGTGCAAAGGTAATAATTTTATCTCATTTTACTTTTCTTTTCTTCCACTTTTTTCCAAATTGAAAGGAGTAATGTTTTTGTTATCTAGTGAAACATTTACAATAAGACAAATGGCGCAAATTCATGCTGATGTCCCGTTCCCGGTTCTTGAAGAAAAGAAGTCATCTTAACAGACTCTTTTCCTTTCGTTCACACAAGTAATTTAAAATTCCCTTCTCACTAAAGCCGCGGCTACACGAGCGATTTTTCGCTTGCGCAGGCGACGCGATTTTCGGGTACGATGAAAGCTGAACATTGAATTTGCCCTTTTTTATGGAGATTCAAATAAGTATTTGTGAGGATTTTTTTATCGCTACAGCATTGTCGCTCGTGTAGCCACATCGTGTGCTGGTGATTTTAGGAAAATCGCGTGGTGTAGCTCAGCGGCTTTATAAACGAAATTCAATTCGAGGGCCTGGAATTAACACTGTTTTTAACAACACAATTTACGGTAAGGCAGGGAAATTAACGTCTGAATCAAAGAAAATGATCTGTTTATCATCCTTAATTTTTGACCTCTAATAAGAGTCGAGGAAATGCGGGGACTTTAACATTGTTGAAATGTCAATTCACCCGGTATTCCCGGGGCATAGGAGACAGTGCGGTTTCAATAGCCGACTTTAGATATTTTGGTTCAGTGACCATGCACAAAAGAATTGCAGACGAGGCTCCGGGGAAATAAAGAATAAAACGATATTATACGCTCTTTGATTGGTCATTTTGAAGCGTGCACTTCAAAATAACTCTTTGCAATATTAAAAAAAATAAAATTATCAATGGATAATCTTGATTTATTCTTTATTTCCCCGGAGCCTCGTCTGCAATTCTTTTGTGCATGGTCACTGAACCAAAATATCTAACTCGTCTATTGACTGGTGCGTCAGTTCGTCGTGGAATAGTGCTGTTATTTTTACATACCACTAAAAACAGCGGTTAATTCCCCGCTAATATGAGTTTCAAAGGATAAGGAATCTAACCTTTTTTACACTAATATTCATAGTTTTCTGAATGAGCCAAAGCCGGAAGTACGGACCAATGTTATATTATCTGGTCAGTACTGCTATGTTGATATACTCAATGTACTAGTCAAAAAGAAAGCGTTAACCATGCAAATGGTCCATACTATCTACTGCCTTGAAGCAAAACATCTTATATTCATCCATATGCTAAACAGCCTCTATTCAAAGAATGGCAGATTTCCAGATCATACAATACTCTATCAGACTCTGATTCTAGACAAACTGTGAAAGAGCACATGTATCGTAAACAAATACACATTATTCTACCTGTAAGTTGTCCTTTTTGTCGTAATCGATCCAGTTGACTAAGACAAAATCGAGCTGAAACAGTTCATGGCAGTTACAATCGGCGCGGGTTCTTGGAATTACTTGATGTCACGTGAGCTAGGATATTTATCACACGAATATAGTACATGCATCCCCTCAAGCAGGACTCAAGGTCAAATTGAGTCTGCACTGATCACTCAAAAAAGCTGAAAATAAAACACTGCACTTCGTCGCAAAATACGAGTCACAAAGATTGCAAAGTTATGTTTTTTACCGTATTTACTTGAATAGAAGCCGCCCCTGACTAGACGCCGTCCTCAAATAGACGCCGCACTTAAAGCTCAAAATATTAATAGACGTCAATTTGAGGAAATAATGATACCAACAATGGGAAGTTATTTTCTTTTAGAACATTTTTTATTTTACCCTGCGAGCAAAGTGTATTTCCTTACCTCAATAAAAATTCGCGAAGGAAAAAGGTAAGGAAATACACTATGCTCGCAGGGTATTTTTATTTCGAAGTGACTGTACTTGTTTGATCTCAGCAGCTGTTAGATTCCGACCACGAGGAAGACATTGATGTTGAAATAGAAGTTTAACTCTGGTTAAAATCATAAATTGAATGAGACAAAATGAACACCACATTTATAGCTATTTCAAAAAAGGTTGTCGGATAAAATGGCGAATGTCAATTGTCGAACGGCGATTGCACGACCGAAAGTAGACATGGGTATCGCTTGGTGAAATGAAATAACAACTGATATGTACTGTAAGGTGGTCTGTGGTAAAGATTGGCTCCAACAATCTCCATTTCTAATGTAAGGAGAATCCAATAAGTGAAATTTTGTTTATTAAAACAGTGTAACCATAGTCCCTTTCGGTCGTGCAATCTCCCTTGAAAATTCGCCGTCCATTCTCCCCGACAACGTTTTTTGAAATAGCTGTATATATTGAGAATCGTTACTGTTTGTTAGCAAAAAGATACAATAAAAAGTACGGTATGTAGTACTGAATAAAATGTTTTTTTAATAAACGCCGTCCCCGAATAGACGCCGCCCTCGAATAAACGCCGCACCTGGATCGTGAAAAATGAAATAAACGCCGCGGCGTCTATTCGAGTAAATACGGTACTATTACAAGTGATACTATTTTACACCTAAACGCGAGTATTCTCTTTACATTGAAGGTCCATGTGTACCCGAGAACCTTTGCGCGACGAAAAATAGAATAGTCAAAGCGCCATCGGCCATCTGAGCTCTAGACCCATTTTCTTTTCAATTTTTATACAGCAAACAAGACAATAGTCTCCTCGCAGCCGTGTTTAGTTTCGGTCACGCGTCACGCAACCTCTCCACACAGAGAGGTTGCGTGACCCGTGACCGAAACTAAACACGGTTGCGAGGAGACTAACAATTAGACAAAAGAAAGACGGATAAGATGAATTAACCATTATTATGATGCTGTTGTATGTAGGACGTTGGTGTTATGCCACTAATATTTCAGTATTACATGTTACTATTATTTACACGTAGAGTGTGCTAACAAGCCACGCAATAATTTTACAATTAATATACAATTACAAGAAATATTTCATTTATACTTAGACTGGAGGCTATTTCCACTTAAGACTCCAAGACACTCCAGTAACCAAGGTGATTCGGCTTCGGTTGCCAAGGTGATTGATATGCAGTCACGTGGTTCTTTGATACTGTTGCGATGTATATTGTTGCCAAAGGATTGATTTAAACTGCTACCAAAGCAATTCAGTGATATTGCTATTTTGAAAATATTGTCAATGCTGTCACTGATGGCTTTCAAAAGTGGACTTCATAGTTTTATGATTTTATACTGACATTTTTAGATCATCAATATCATTAAATACATGATGAAATTCAGAATTGTAATGAATGATGCTATTGCTTTAGCAAGTAAAATAAAAAAATTGTATAGAAGTTTTGGTTGTAAAAAAAGAGAGACATAGTTCTATAGTATAAAAAGGAAAAGATGCAATATACACTCTGTAGACTGTCTGTGTAGAGCTATAATAAAATGCAATTACAAAATAGCATTGATAGTTTACAAGAAATGTTGAATGGAGCCAACCTCGAAAAGCTCTGGATTCACTTTGAGAGCGTTTATAACCACAGGCAACCCAGGCTAAGCATTTGATTGACTGATTTATCGATATCAGAAGTACTTCTGTCGATATCTAAAAATGCATGTAAATATGAAAATTTTGAATAAGTATAGAGGGGGAGATATCACGAAAAACGGCAAAATGACGCCTTGATTCAGAGCTAAAACCACATCATAAGATAAGACAAATGTTTTAACTTATTTTTTCTTTAAAAACTTTCATATTGACATACATCATTATAGATATCGCTAAATCAGTTGGTCACATGCTTAGCTTGGGTTGCCTGTGTTGTAAGAATCAGTACGTTACACTGCCCGAGCCTGTTCTTTGCCGGCGAATTTGGCTGTAACCACCGTTCACACTTCTTGCAGTTACACCAAAACGATTAATGACAATCTCAAAGAAACAGAAAGCAGAATGAAGACGAAAAAAGATACACAGTGGATATGCGATGTGGCTAAGAATCTTCCAAGTAGAACGTCCATAAGCAGCAACCTCAATTGCACCCTGGGTCTTAATGTTTTTAAGTTCAAATGTATCCAATGCCCAAATCCCCAAGTTTCCAAGGCTTAGAATAGCTGATGTGTTGCGTACCATAGCCAAGGCTGTGGGAGCTGCCAGGGAAACATCGTCTTGACGACGCCTTAGTGCTTTTACTATGAAGATCGCCTGGAAAGAGAACTGAAACAATGCCACTATGTTATCTCCAATATAGATCGGCATATTTGGACAGAATGACATCGTAGGGGGATGCGTTGTAGTGTTATCTGAGGCCGTTTCATCTGCACCGTTGCATTTTGATTTCATGTCAGAAATAGCAGAGATCACTTCAAATATTACCATCACGTAGCAACCAGTCACTCCAATCATGATGAGGATAGAATCAACTCTGGTGTGAAGCCTACTTTGGGAACTGTGTGACTTTGGCAGACACACCAATCCACATATTGACGATACAAACATCACAGTAAACAAAGTAATTCTAAATTCATAGTAGTAGTAGGCGCTTTTATCTTGGTCGTATTCAATAGCAATAGATAATGTTATAAGGACAAGGTATACTGCGAGGACTATGACGCCAATTATATATCCAATGACTGCTGACTTCCAGAATAACATGGTTTTTGGGTCTCTTTCAGAGCTTTCGTGAGCATTTAGAGGCTCCTGGCTGTGACATATCTCTGCTATAGTATCTTTGAGGTTTTGCAATGAGCAACAGCCAGTGCAGCAGAAATTGTCTGCGTTTTGGTTCTGTCGGTTTTGAACAGTCCTCTTCCTCAGTTCAAACCACATTAGAAGCAGAAGCACAGATGACATGACCGTATATTCGATGTTGAAAGGGTACAAGTATAGGTCTGCAGATACTACAAAGTTGCCCATATAATCATTCAGCTCACGATCATTTGGTGTAGAACAGTTAGTGAAATTACTACGGGTTTGGTCTACAGATTCGTCCACTATGTAGTAAAACCAGGTTGACAGGTTGACAGCGATGATGTGTATGATAAAGAAGCTTGTGCACCATCGTCGGTAGAAGTTCACATCTGAGAAACGGCAGAAGAAGTGCAGTTGCAAAATCAGAAATACTATTTTCACCAAGTCGAACACACCGTCACTACTGTCTTTTTTGAGATCTTTACATGACAAAGTGTACAAAAATGCCATCAAGTCCACCCCTGTAATGAAGCAACTTCCAATGCAGAAGATGGTCAGGCCGATGATCATGTAGCAGGGGATTTTGGTACCTTCCTCCCGTGCTGTCAAGCAGCATCCACAAGGAGGGTTGCGACATGCGCAAGCTCCAAGCATCCACAAGATTGCTATACCCATGCAAAAGACGAAGAACCAGTTGGTGTAACTCGCGTCGAGCCCAACAGGTTTGTGTATTGTCACTGACAGTGACAGTACTCCTCCCAGTGAAAGCACAATAATAAAATATACAAGATTGCCATTCGTTACTCCTATGTGATGTCTAAGAGTATATATGGGGGCCCTTATTAGGCGTGCAATGCGTCTCGCAATCAATGAACAGATGCCAAGGAAAGATGTCCAGCACGCTTGGCAGCAACGTCTAGGGGCTGGTCGACCTAAAATGGGACAAGATATCTACAATGTAAATACTGAACAAACGATTTTCATTTTCATCAACACGTCTCGAAATACTTCCATTGATGACAAGATATATATAGCGGGTTAAAACAAGGCATTTTTGGTGAAAGAAAAAAATATCCATCGTTCTGAGACAGTCCTCAATGACTACCCTGCATAACTCAAGGCCCAAAGTCCCTGGCCTCGGGAGCGACTAGGAATTAACGCCTGGCTACCCTGKCTAAAATATGAAGATCAAAATGTGAATGTTGCGCAACTCTCAGATTATCATCATACCGTTGTCTAAGTATTCCTGTGCTTCGTGGTAGTCTTCTGGGGCATTGGTTGAAGCTGTTTCATAATCGTCATCGATATCTATTCGATGCTGATCTGAAAAAGTGCCACACAGTTTCAGAATTATCTATGTATAACCGCAGTATACATGCAGTATAGCCTACTATGATAACTGTACCGTACAAAGTTTCCGCGTGGACATCACCTTGCATGTGGTGCAGAATTTCGGTCAAACTTTTAATTACCAACTCTTGGTCAATTGCATGCAGAAACCTATAAGGGACTTGAAACGTGTAACGCCCATACATTTCTTTAATGCCAAGCGTCGGAATATTCAAAGCTCATTAAAAATTCGAAAACGAACGTTATGACCATATTTGGAAAATTCGGCCGTTGGATAAGAGGTTTAAGGCCCGTTCTGGTTGGCTATAGGGTAAATTTAATTGTTCCAAATAAGGTCAAATAAGGCAAATTAGATTTGAATATTCCAACGGTTGGCACGTCGTTACACGTTTCAAGTCCCTTATAGGTTTCTGTTGCATGTTTATGACATGTTATGAGGCTTGTACGATCAACACTTGCAAAGCGAAAGCTTGATTTTCTCTATATTGTTTTTCGTACCTCGATCACAATCGTCCGCCATGACTGATCCAAGGTATTATAAAGGGAAGCTGGAAAAGAAAAAAAACCCATACATTCCTATATTACTTATACATTGTTTCGGAGATGTGTCAAAACTGAATCGTCTCTTCAAGCTGCACATTAATTATCCGCAGAAATTGTCGACATGAACCAGGAGTGCACGTTCATTTTGCCCGCAGCAACGCAGGATTTTATCATTGAACGTTTTTTTGGAACAGCTGTAAATCTTATTTTAAGTTGTCCGTGTGAGAATAGCAAGTCTAATAGCGTAGACTTTCTTTTATTTTTTATATAGTATAATTTTTCCTGATTTTTCTTTTTAATTTTTAGTAATTTAATCATAAATTTGA